CTTCAAAGACCAAAATTAGTAATCTGCTATAGTTACTGTGAGCAGTAACTCGAGAAAATAGATAATATTGTCCTATGCTCCTGCATCAACGAGTTAGAAATTTCAAAGGGGTCGCCCATTCGGTTTAATTTAAGTACTTTTCTTATGTTCTGCTTGTTGCATCTTTTATGTTTCAATGACTTATTCTGTAATTCTCTACATGCTATTCCAAATTCGGCGGATGTTATTCAAGCCAAGAAGTCAAGTTCTTTACATCTATGTTCGAAGATATAGTCGTAGTTACTACTTACACTGGCTTAACTCCTTACCTCTGTCCCTGCTCAGGACAAGTACCAAGAATGAGTACATAAAACGAAATTTTGTTTTGGAATAATTGTCATGTTTGTGCTTGTCATTGACTACATGGAGAAACATAAAATAAAAATACAGTCATGTTGTGTTACCTTACATAAATTAGCTGTCGCTTGCAGATAAACCAAATGTAACAAGATGGATCCGCCTGCTGGTTGACAAATATTGAGCTTGTGGATTTAAGTTGTGCCATCCCACTGCAATGCTAAAGGCACATCAGCAAACAAAGATTTTGAAAAAAAAAACGAGAATGTTGTATCTGACTTATTAAAAAACTGCAGTTGTCAATAGGTGCTGACCTATGAAGAAATATAACAGCTCAACTGAATTAGTAGTCATCCAAAATGACTGAATTTTACTGTAATCTCTCTCTAGAGTTGCCGCACAAAAGATATGAGGAACTATATTCATGACAAACTACTATCTCGCCTCTTCATAAAAAATATAATAATGTATGTGACTTAAGAAAATACTTTTGCAATGCATTTAAGATGCAATCTCTGAGCAAAGTCAATGTCATTAATCTAAGACTAGGACTCAAAGTAGCTCACCGACTCCACAGGTCACATTTTCTTTTGCCTTCTGGTCTATGCTAAATAAACGAAGATTAACTCATGAGTAAATCATACACAAAATAGCGCTTGTCTGTTGCTGCTCCCGTAATCAGTTTCTCAATGGCATGCTGCTCAATAAGTTGCGGTATCCCCTTCCCTATATCTTGCATCTCGATATATCTTTTCTCCACAGAAACCTGCAGAAAGGAAACATTAATGTATCCACACACAAGTCAGATACTGGACTCCAGCTTGCATGTCAACAATTAACTTCGAAAAGTTTCAAATGATGGGCTGATGTCAGGTTACATAAGTATGTAGATTTCTTGGTACACTTATCCAATTAAAACCTCAAAACAGAGCTCAACATAAACCTAATCAAATACAAAAATTATATCTCTAACTTCCACCACCCTTATGTACTCAGTTGATTCAGAACAACCGGGAGTATAGAATTCTGGGAACGAAATTAAGACAATCTGATCCAGACGAATTAAGCACTAACTTTACCAGTATCATGAAATAACCATCTGAAATGTCGAATAATCCTAAACTTCAGTCTATCATTGTCTTCTCTACTTCACTAAAATGGGAAAATGAAAAACAAATTCTTGCGCATTCAACAGTAATGCTAAGAAACAACGAACTAATCATATGGCAAATGTGGCAGAAGACATATAATTCAGGGGAAAACGAGCCTCTGCTTGCTTACAAATGTGAATGTACTTGTCCAGCATCTTGCCCCATTCATGTTCTGCCTCGCAAGTTCTTGAGGAGTCCTGATGCCAAAGTCATGCGACTGATTCACTGGAAATTTCACCAAGTCGATGAAACTGCTGTTACTAAATTGCCGCAGCAGAAGAATTTAAGCTAATGCCAACTTGCACCTTATAAAATCATGTTCTCGCCACAGCTAATCTGTCCTCAGAATAAGAAAAACCTCGCAGCATGCAAACGTTTCATAAATGCATCACATTTGGACTATACCACGATTTCCAAAAATTGCGGGCACATGCTAACTTCCAGACTGGGGGTTATTTTTGCATGGAAAACTACATGACCACCATCTCACAACAAAGTCCAATGACTTGTATATACGAGTCAGAAATGTTTCTTCAGACGGGGCGATAGGGAAGTACTTTCAACAAAATGTTAGTTCGGGATCACCTCACTGGTTAGAGGCACCAACACGAGGAACGGCCAAGAGTTGCATTCAACCACAAATCACCAAAAGTCATCTCATATGTAGTCACATCTTTGTGGAATTCAACACAGCAATCTCTACAATATCTAATATCGGATGAATTCGGCTTATCAGCCAACAGTGCCAGAGATAAACCAAAACCATTCTCACAAGTAGCACCATCATTGATACAGCAGATACCCTGTGCCCTTTTGGAATCATCATACATGCTGGGCTGCAGTCAGCATTCTACCAAGCTAAAGTAGCAAACTTTAACATTGCGTCTGTAATGTCCCGCTGCACCATGTCCCTAGGCCGTCGTAAATCAGTTCATCTCATGTTAGTCCGATACGAAGTGTCTCGAAGAAAAAAGAAAAAAGCCACAAAAAACTCCCAAGATTATGCCTACCGTAACACATTTTTTCTGAATTGTATACTCACCGTGATATATTTATCCTTCACATTTTCTTTTTCTTACGATATAAAAAACCCGAAACTTGTTTCCACATGACACGCCTATCCTCCCACCACCATGTTCCATCAGATAATTTTTCAGCTAAAATAACGTCGTTTTCACGTCAGTGTACTTTGTTCACGGCATGAAGTGAACGAAGTCGTAGGCGGCGTTCCCGAACTGAAACTTACGAGATGGGTCGCGAGGGTCGCGATCATCGTCATCATCGTCCTCGGGAGGCTGTTGAGCACGGAGGATGCGGAAGCGGCCGCCCAAATTCTGTAGCGCCCGCGAGAGGGTCGACCTGCCCTTCTGCACGTCGCCGCCCGCGGCCGCGTAGACTCGATCGGCGACCAGCCGCGGCGGCGATCGACCGCCGCCTGCTGCCTCCATGAGAGCAAGAAGTAAAAGGAGCACCTTTTTAGCTGCTGTAGCGTAGCGAGTGAGAGAAAACGAGAAATGTTTGACCAAAAAAGAAATAAAAAAGAGAAAACAAGAAATTTTTTAAGTGACAATATTTTTCAAAATCTTACTCAAAATAAAAAGTAATCCCCAAAGTATTATTAAAATAGATTAATACCACAACAAACTCTAAATTAGTATACTTATGATAAATTTATTCTCTGTTAATTTCAGTTAAATTAAATTAATATCACGAAAAATCACAAACCGGTACACTTGTGACAAACGGACGGTAAAACCCTAAACCGGTACGCTCGTCAACTGCCACGAGTCATTCAACTCAGGAATTTGATGGTAAAATTTAACGGAAGATAAATTTATCATATATGTACCACTTTGGAGTTAGGTACCAATTTGACATTTTTCGTAGTATTAATCCTATTAAAATCCCCTTCTACTTTCTTACCTAGCAAAAGATAACCTCCTTAAAAATACGAAATTGAAATAAGTAATGGTATTTATCAAAATCATAATCTAAATAAAAGTAATCCTGAAAATATTATTAAAATAAAACTTGTAGATCAAGAGTTTAATAACAAGAGCTAATCTTGAAATCATGGTATCAACTCTTTCTCTCTAGTCCTATTAAAAGGATAGTGGTTAAGTTTTGGTTTGATATGGTGAAATTGCTCTTTGAGTATGGTGATAGCTTGAGGCCAACGTCTGGTGGTTGTCGCCGCAGATCTCTTTCTGTAGGGCAATATGATGGGCCGCCTCCGTGATCAGTCACAATCATTCTAATAAGCAATCGCCGCCGCCGCCGCCAATACCGGTTGTGACCAATGATCTCCTACTAATGCATGTCCAATATCGGAAAATGTTAATAAAAAAACTCCACATTAAATAAGTTCTGGCTAATTTGGAGGCTGTGCCATCTTCTTTATTGATCATGTGCAAAATGAACTTAAGAACAGTTGGAAAGAGAGAGAATGCAAATTCTCTTTTTATGTTTTATCTTGTTATGGTTCGAACCTTGTATTCTTTCTTACCATCTTTCATACGTGTCGCAACTGAGGGACATTTGAAAGATACAAGCATTAGCTTTGCTCAAATTACATTTTTCTAGCGGAGATGGGACAACCGGTAACTTGGTACCGCCTTTTAATTTTACCAATTAAGTTTTAAACCTTTTCACTTCTTACCAATTGAGTCCATCTGACTAGTTTTGGTCGAAAAGTGCTAACATGGACACCGGGCGACCTACATGGCGCTAACGTGAATTTTTCATAACATTTTAATATTTTTGAATTTTTTATTTTTATTTTCTATTCTTTATCTTTTTTTCTTTTGTTTTCTCTTCCCCTTCTTCTTCCTCCGGCCGATCGTTGGAGAGGGCCGACAAGGTCGACCTTGCCGGCCTCGGGCGAGCCTCGCTAGTCCCTATCGAGGTCTAGGCGAGGCCAGCCTCACTAGATCTAGTGAGGTAGAGCCATGGCGTGGCTCGCTCTCGCCTAGCCATGGCAAGCCACCTCACTTAGGAATGGCAAGGCTCGACCTCGCCATGGCTGGGCAAGGTCGGCCTTGCCAGTGGCCGGTGGGGGAGAGGCTCGCCCGAGGTCGACGAGGTCGACCTCGCCGGCCCTCTCCTCTGGCCGGTTGCTGACGCCCGGCGATCGGCTAGAGGAGGAAGAAGGGGACAAAAAAAATAAAAAGAAAATAAAAAGAATAAAGAATAAAAATATTCAAAAAAATATTGAAATTTGTCCACGTCAGTGCCACGTAGGCCGGCCGGCATCCACGGAAGTAATTTCTGGCCAAAATTGGCAAGAACTGAAAATGTTTAGGACTCAATTGGTAAGAAGTGAAAAGATTTATGACTCAATTGGCAAAATTGAAAAGTTTAGAACTGAATTGGCAAAAGTGCAATAAATTTAGGACTTTTTGGATAATTTTCCCGATTTATAATGTTTTTCTTGTCCTCAGCTATTAGTGTGGCGTGGGTGTTTGCATTCGTAACATGGATTTGAGTCATGAAGTTATATTAATATCTCAATATAAGTCCTTTTGGCCTTTTCTTTTAGTTTCATATTTCAGATTGCATCCCCTTATTAAAACTCCGATAAAAACTTGACTTCTCCTTACTAATTGTCAAAGATAAAAGTCTAGTACCTACAAATCTTATATCCTATCAAAATTTAGTTGGCTCCTCCTCATTAATTAGGCATATTAACCATCAAAATTTAAAAATACAAAAACACGTACTTATATTTTACTTTTCAAATTAAATCATAGTAGTTTAAATGAAAAATGATAAATAATAAGATAATCGGACTCTTCGATTAAAAAAGTCATGCAATCAAAATGTTCATGTTTATTTTTCTCGCAAGACTTATACCGTTTCTCAAAAGGAAAGAAAAGTCCCTTCGATTTCTACACACACAAAAAAAAAAAAGTGTGGAGCTACTTCTACCCTTTGGGCCCAATTTCCTAAAAAACCCCAAACTTTACCCTTTGTCCCAATTATATCCCAAACTTTTTTTTATCTTAAAAAAAACCTCAAACTTTTACTTTTGTCTCAAATCTACCGAATTCTCTTTTCGTCCAATTTTTTAATATTATTTTTTATTTTTTCGAATTTTATTTTATTTTTTATTTTTCCTTTCCTTTTCTTTTTTTTTTGTTTCACCTTTGGGCCGGTCGCCGGACCGGCGACCGGCCAGAGGAGGGGGCCGGTGGGGGCGAGGCTCGGCCTTGCCGGGCGTTAGGCGCAGGGCCGAGCCTCGCCGGTGGCTAGCGAGGCTCGGCGAGGCCGACCTCGCCGCTTGCTGCGGTGGGGCCGACCTCGCTAGCCACGGCGAGGCTCGGCCCCGTCGGCTATTGGCGAGGTCGGCCTCGCTAGGCTGGCCGGCGTGGTCGAGTTCTCGCGCCATCTCGGCGAGCTCGACCCTCGCCGGCTGGCCCAGCGAGGTCGGCCTCACCCAAAGACCGGCGAGGTCGGCCGAGGCTGAACCTCATGCCGTTGCCGCTGGTGAGGCCGACCTCGCCGGGCTTTGCAGGGCCAAACCTCGCCGTATATGGCGAGAACTCGGCTCACGCAGGGCCGCTGTGGCGAGGCCCTGAGCCTCGCACGGCTATTGGCGAGGTCGGCCCGCAGCGGCAATCGGGCGAGGTCGGCCTCGCCAGAGAACGGCGAGGCCAGGAGCCTCACCCGGCCGGCCGCGGGGCCCGAGCCCTCGCCGACCACCTGGCGAGGCTCGGCCCCAGCCGGCTATTGGGCGAGGTCACCTCGCCCGGTAGCCAGCGAGCTCGGCCCGTCGGCTATTAGCGAGGTCGGCCTCGCCGGGCCACAGCGGGGGCCGACCTCGCCGGCCCCCGCCTCTGGCCGATCGCCGGACCGGCGACCGGCCAGAAGGGGAAACAAAAAAAAAGAAAAGGAAAGGAAAAAGAAAAGAAAAGAAAAAATAAAAAAAAATCGAAAAAATAAAAAATAATATTAAAAAATTGGACGAAAAGTTAATTGGGTAGATTTGGGACAAAAGTAAAAGTTTGAGGTTTTTTATAAGACAAAAAAAAGTTTGGGATATAATTAGGATAAAAGGTAAAGTTGGGGGTTTTTTAGGGAATTGGGCCCTACCCTTTGTATGTCTAAATCTACCCAATTTTCACCAAAAAGACAAAATTGTCCTCAATCATTCAATTGCAATTTAAAGTGGTGATCCCATATTTTTATTTACTTTCATTCTTTTTCTACATAAGATTTAGGAGCCATAATCAACAATTTCACATGTTTTGTTTTTATTTACTGTTGATTTCCTATGCATATTAAAGGCAATATGTTTTCTTTTTTATTGTTAAATTTTACTTCCATAGAAAATAGTTTTGTTGAAAAGGGAAGTTTTCAAGAAATCAATTATTTTCTACATTGTTGAGTTAATTTATTATCATTAATAGTCAAGTAGAATCTGAAATTTTTTTAACATAGAACAATTCTTTAACATAGTCACTTGTTTATTTTTACTTCCTTTCAATGGACACTTTCCAAAATAAAATCATAGTTACATGCTTCATCATTCTTATAACAACCTATCTATTCTTCATCCCTCTTATCTCAAAAGTTATTTTTTATTTTCTAGTTTCATTAGTCTAAAATACAAATCAAGGCTCTCTATTTACGGTATCAAAGTATTTGTCTTTTCCCTACTTTTGGTGAAATACTTTTACACGGAGCATGTAATACTAAAATCATCAACGTGAAAAATTCATGCACAACGAGAGATCTTGAAATTTTGTGGTAAGTACTTCAACAATTATATTAAATTTTTTCAATCCAAAATGATGAGATTTTTTATAAAAAAAATTCTTGTTTTATGCAAATGTTTTACTTAATAAATTTCATCTTTGAAAGTCTCACGTTGGGGAATGTAATTGTATTTTTATTTTGGAAAATTTTTAAAAGAATTTTCTTTTTATTTCGTCCAATCATCCCATTATATGTATATGAATATAAAAAGATAACTGATAAGAAAGGGACCAATGGTAATATGTACAGCAAAAGTAAATGTTATGAAGATGTGATTGTGTTAAAAATAGTATATGTTATAATTTTTCTAAATTCTACTTGACATCTAATGCATAAATTTGCTCGACAACCTTGAAACGAATTAGGCTTCTTGAAATTTCTCGTTTTGAAAAAACTTATTTCTACAAAAGTAAAATCTAAAAATAAAAAGAAAACATGGTGCAATTAATACACATGAGATATTCACAATAAACAAAAATAGAAAATGTGAAATGCTTAATTATGGCAACTAGATCTTAAGAAATAAAAAAATAATAAGGAAGGAAAGTAAATAAATTTATGGCCACCATTTTGAATTGCAATTGGATGATTGCAGGCAATTTTGTATTCTTGATGAAAATGAAGTGGATTTAGTCATATTGAGGATGGAAATAGTGTGGCCCTCAATTTTGGCGAACAATGGAAACTCAACTTTAATTTAGATATGCTAGTTATCCTCAGACTGATGGGAGTTTTGTTAGAAAATTAACTATAGCGGAAGACTGAAAATTAGCTATGCTAAGTGACCGAACCACGGATACTAAGAGATATTTTAGTCTTTATGAACATCACACTAAAGCGGTTGGACCGCTCCCATTCTTCATAAAAAGGGCTATCTCAGCTGCAGTGCTTGTGTCAGAAGGAGCAGGTGATTCGTCTTTCCTTATAACATAGTCAATGTTCATGCACCCCAATTGAAGAAGGATTAGCTTTTTCCAAACTTTATGGTTTTTACCATTCAGCACGAAAACATCATTCTTAAATTCAAAGAAATTCACAGGTTGTAAAACTGCATATCAAACACATATGCTTATGTCACAAAATTTGAGGCATATCAAACATATATCATGCTTTACCAATGTAAAATATGTAACAAAATATGAATCACATAACATAAAAACTGTCTGTGGGCTAAGTTTTTAATTTAAATAGATTCATAATTAACTTTATGAAGAAACTATCATATTATATTCCTTTTCTTAATCACTACGGGTAAATTAAGAAAAATAATATGATATTTCATCCTAATTAATCATATTAATATAATGAAAATTCTTATGGGATAAAATTTATTATATTTATACGATTAATTACAATCAATGTTCTTTTCTAAATGTAATCCGGAGGTTCTTAATATATAATTTTAACTAATTAAAGATGTTGTGGCTACTCTCTAATTAATTAAAACTATATGGATCACTAGACATTTAATTATATGCATAAAATATCACAAAATTGCATGCAAGGGCATAATCGAAAATTTTCAATGCTAAGGGGGGCAAAACAGTAAAATTTACGCGAAAAGGGAAGAACGGTAAAATAAATGCTGAGAGGGACAAAACGGTAAATTCAACGAACAGGGGCAGAATCGTAATAATCGGTTCCTCACTGGCGCGTGGCACACACGCGCCCAATCCCTCGCGCGCACGCGCCTGACGAATGCGCTAGCGCGTGGACCACACGCACCATGCTTGACATGCTGGCGCGTGGTCCGCACGCGCCTGTCCCTCCAGCGCCTCCTCGCGCCAGTTCGCCGTTTGTCGTCTCCGCCGCGCCTTCCGTCGCCCGATTCTCCTCCGGCAGCCCACTTTAGATCAAAATAAATGGTGGGGCTTTTGATACCACGCCAGCGCGACCACATAATTCAAAGAATCGGCGAAAACGGCGAAGAAATTGCCCCGAATCAATCAAAATTCCACCAAAACGCAAACCCTAATCACCACGAATTCCGCTGCCTAATCCACGTCCAGCGAACATCATAATGCCGAATTAACTTGGGGCTTTTGTTGCCCATGGCAGTGCGACTATGCTGGTCCAAAGCCGGGTGGCGGTTTACCCGAATTTGGCCGGAATCACCAATTTCTTTTTTGCCCATAAATTGCCTCAATTTTTAATTCATTCAAAACTCATAAAAAAATCATCAAGTCAGAGATACAAATATGCTCTGATACCAACTATTAAAAAATTAACTATAGCAGAAGACTGAAGATTATGATTATTCATGTATAAACTATAACCATGCATAATCATAATCGAATGCGGAAACGTGAAAAAAATCTATACTAACCTTCAGCCATTGATGAAACGATTGTCAATAGGTGCTTCTAGCCAATTGTCCTTGTCGATGGTGTATTTTCTGATATCTCAGATCAATAAATGAGAGATCGATCTTCGAGGGTTTGGCTTAGATAATCTATTTATATCTCAATTCATACCATTATAGATAACTTCTCCCATCAAGTTATCTTAATATTGGGCGATCATAGTTATCACGTATTTGAATGCGCTCAATAAACGTTGACGAAATTAATTAATGTGAGCAATAATAAACTAAATGTAGGATCACGTTATAGATAATAAAATTATAACACAACTTACTGGAAAGACATGTTAAACAATTTGATCTTTGTTATCGGCTCAAACTGAGTTTGCCTATCGTAATTGGATGAGTCGAACCACGGGAAGAAGCCCATTTGGGGTTTGTGTATGGAAAGCATTCTTCTAGTCCTTTGGATCTTTGCTGCATTACCCACCAAGCAACAGTTTTAGCGGAGATGCGGAGGAAAGGGGCCAAGGAAAATGAGCAGTTCAAGTTGAGGAGTGAGAGAGAATTTTTAAGTAGACAGAAGTATTGCGGTCGAGCAAAATAAGCATAGAGAGCCTGCTGTTTTTAAGGAAGGTGATCTTGTGTGGATTCATTTGAGGGAAAGAACGATTCCCGCCTGGCCATCTCGTCATGCCGAGTTATCTCCTCGAGCGGCGGATGGTCCTCTTTTCAGTTTTGGAGCGCATCGAAGATAATGTCTGCAGAATTGAACTTCCTGGAGAGTGTGGTGTTTGTCTACTTTCAATATCTGCTGAGCTATCACCATATCATGAAGGCCAAAGACTGGATGAAGTTGGCCCGGAGGATTTCTCCAGCCGAGGGGGGAATGACACCGAGAATATTTCTAAATCCTTATTTGGAAATTTCAAGATTGTCTTGTCATTAGAACATAGAGTTAGGATATATTCTATTAAGTTGCAAGTTTACTTTGAATATAATCATGAGTTATCAAGAGATTTCTGTATGCTTGGAGTGGCCTAGGGGAGACGTAGGTTATCTAGTGTCTTCCTTCCTATCCTCCATAGCAGGGTTTTCAACCTCGCCATCAAGACATTCCGGCGCCACTAAGTGGTGGCATCACGAGGTCCAGGACAAGAGAACCAGATTCTCATCCACTCTTATCCCGGGCTTTTCACCTAACCAATCCAGAGACGCGGTCATGCAGTTTTGCAGCGATATTTGTAGCATATGCACGCCTATAAATCCGATCATGGTTTGCACAGATGCAAATTCAACCCAAATCATCATGCCAAAACAATATCCCAGACCTTGAAACTGCAGAATTATGGGTCATACATTTCAGTGCCAGAACAAAGAATCTCTGTACAGTTCTTAGTTGGAAAGGAAAGTCGCACTGCTCTTGCCGGGTTCAGTCACTGTGATCAGGACATTGAATTTAAGGTTCATGGTCTTGTAGCCAATCTTGAATTGCAGATCGCAGAGTCTGGTTCGGAACGAGATCAAGGTTTGCAAGCTGGAGATTCGTCATAGGTGAAGTATCATGGCCACTAGTAAACCAACCCCTTATCGCCTCTGCCTCATAGGTAAAACCATCTGATGCCACTTGGGGATCTTGCATAATTTCCTAAAATAAAATGCCAATGAGGTGTATAACCATTTCAAAGTAGAATCGATATAATCATGCCGACATATAGCCAAAGATCTTAGACTTTAAACAGCGATCTATATCCTAATACACAAATAATAAGCAAACTCACCTGGTAGATTGGACAAATGAAATATGGAGGAGGCTGGCTAGGCTCTTCAGGACCTGACCAATTGGACGATGAATCTTCACTAAGAATTCGCATCTGCTCGAGCACAGGCCACACTTCGGACTTGAGCTCAGGCCGGTTGCTGGGATTTATGTCACAGCACCTCAATGCCATGTGAGCCAGCTCCCTGGCTTGCTCAAATGGCCAGTGCCCTGCTGTAGGATCCAGTAAGTCCTTTAAGTTCTCTAGAATGAATGAGTCTTGCACTGTCTCTTTTAAACTCAAGGCCGATTTCCCGATCAGTAACTGCAATATTATAAGACCAAATGAATAAACATCTGAGGCAAAAGATCGTTCCCCTGCCGTTGGCTCACAGGACAGTCCAGATTTTATTAGTTTTGGCAGGAAGTTGGTGTCGAGAAGAATATTTTCTGGTTCCAGGTCACCATGAGCTATTCCACTGTGGTAATGCAGATAAATTACTGCAGCACATGTTTCCATACAAATGCATACACGAGTTTGCCATGACAGAGGCGCAGTGTTGCCTACGCAGCAGAGTCGGTCTTCAAGGCTACCATTGGGGAGATACTCATAGATAAGAGTCCAAGCTTCAGTGCAGACTCCGATGAGATTAACCAAATTCGGATGTCTTAGCTTACTTGCTGTGTGGACCTGAGAAAAAACCCACAAATTTGTCAAACTTTCCACTTAGGACCTACAAAAATTTCATGCGTCTATCGTCTCTCGAACTTCTTGGACGGAAAAGTTAAAAAAGTTCTTTATGTGCCTAGAATCAAATGAAAGTTGAATGACCTTCCAATCTTATGCTTTGGATTACATATTAGAATGACGTACTGCGATATAAGCCTGCATACTTCTGATCATTTGTCAAAACAACCACAATATTCTTGAAAATATGCTAAGACTGCAAATGCCTCACCTCTTGATGGTACTGTGAGGATCCCTGGGAAAGCAACTTAATGGTCACTAGGATGTTACAAAGAAAACCTTTATAAGTGCTCCCGTACTCTCCTTCCCCAATCTTTAAGGATGGATCGAAACTGTTGATAGCTTCCATAATTTCTGAGAAAGAAAATTCAGAAAGGAAGTCCTGCTGATTTGCAGTCAAGGGTTCGCTTGCTTGGCTTGTAAGGAGCTCCTCGTTTACTTTCAGTGCATTCTCTAGCAGCATCTGTAACTCATCCAGTTGGTTCTTCGTCATTTCGAGTGCTTCCTTTTCTTTAGCTAGCGATTCCTCAAGACCGTTCCTCCGCCTTAACTCCTCCTGAAGTGCTATAACCTGTAAATAAGCAACGATGTTCGGATAGTTTATTATATTACTAAGATACTCAAAATTCTGCCTCTAACAATGTCAACTTATGAAACTGAGGCTGTGCCAAGCACTTGCATCAAAGATGGACTGAGCAACTTCCACCTAATGGAATCTGCTCAAACTTTAGGAATACTAACGTTCTAAGTTCTTTGAAATCCAGATGAAGGAACTTCATTTAGATTGGTCTACAAGACTTCTGCATCCTCAAGTGTACCATCTAGAGTACTTTGTCCGGACATTGACTTGAGGTAACAAAACTAGCAAAAAGAAAGCAGATTCTGAACCATTGATTAACTAAATTTGTCTCCCATGCACGTGTTGTCTCTGCTTTCTATCTCCAATACCTCAGAATCCATGAATACATCTGTGCACAGAACATAGTAAGATAATCACGACAAGAACATTACTCTGCGATTAGCATCAATTGCATTTTTTTCAGCTTCTTGACGATTGATCCACTCTTCATATGCCTCTCGTTTTGCCTTTGCAGCCTCTGCCATTGCTCTGTCAAGTTGTTTATAGAGTTCATCGTTACTTCCTTCCTGTCAGGAAATTTGGAGCCTTAAGAATGACTCATAATCCCAGTGCTCAGTTGTATATGAAACTATCTAGTTTACTGAACAGATAGATACGCTTGAAAGTAAAGAAATTTTCTTGACCAAAAAAAAAAAAACAAAGAAAGTACAGAAATTTTGTTCTACCAGAGCACAAAATGGCGTTGGAGGTTCACAAGAAAGTTCATCTGAAGGTTTTAAAGAAGGTCCAGAGCTTGATTCTGATTTATGATGGATCCTCTGGCCTCTCGTAATCCAAACCAAGGACCTATCGTCTTCAACTTCACTAGAGTTGGATCGTGAAAGAGCTGATGAACCTATAGGGCTTCTCAAGTTTTGTGATCCAGATTCCGCAGCAGAATTCACTGATACCGATGATGGGGGAACATCCATATCGAAAGTGTTTAAATCTCCTTCCCTATAAATTTTTTAATAATCCACATCAGCTAACATAATAGTTGCATTTGACAAAAACAAAAAACATCATAGTTGCATCCGAGGCATGAAAAGTTGAAGAAGAAGCTTGAGCAGCAACCTCCTTTATATGCATAAAATGGAGATGGCCTTCACTAAGAGATGGTGATTTGGACAGAGTGAACTTAAGAGAATACATTGAAAAGCGTTCAGACATAGGTTCCAGAAAAGACAGCATAAACTCTCATCAGCATATGAAGATGCACTCTGGAAACTCAAGATGCCATTTTGAAACTTAGCCTAAGAGTTCCGGGTATAGAACGACCAGTGATTTAGGGTTCACCCTAACAAGGTATTCGTACCAAGAGCAGAATGGGAGGAGCAAATAGGAACAATTCGAAAGAGAACAAACAATGTAACAGATTGTCTTCTGTTTATTGAAAAACACTTTACTCAATCTAGACGATTCACTAATCAGAAAACAACCCTTCAAGACCAAACTAGGCATAAAAAACCTTTATTCATAGGACTGTTAAAACATAAGTAAATACCCAAAAGAACTACAAAGACCAGAATTGAAAAATCTGCTACAGTAACCGTGATATAGGGGTGACCAATCGGTCCGGTTCAATTTGGGAATGGAATTGAACCACCCGAATTGAACCAAACCGGCCATACCCGACCTATTCGCATGAGGACCGAGTAGGTACTTGGGTAAAATATTGGGAAACGGCGTAGCTCTCGATTTTATACCGGTTTTCTAGTCTAGGAAATTCATCAATGTCTTAACCACTATGCCATATATTATTCACAGGGTATGTTTTCCTAAAATAATAGTTATATTACTTAAAGTTAGGCCCAGTTCCCTATTTACAAGGTAGGTTCAAGGTTCTCGGTCTCGAACCCACCCACCCTGGAAACGGTCACCCTTACCACTCGAGAAAATAGATGACATTCTCCTATGCTCCTGCATCAACAATAAAGAGGTTTTAAAGGGGTCGGCCATTCGGTTTTAGGTAAGTGGTTTTCTTATTCTGCTTGTTGCACATTTCATGTTTCAATGACTTATTTTGTAATTCTCTACATGTTGTTCCAAACTCTGGATGTTATTCTAGCCAAGAAGTCGAGTTCTACACAACTATGTATAAAAATATTAGTGGTGGTAACTACTTTCCATACACTGGCTTAATTCCTTACCTCTGTCCCTGCTCAGCACTAGTAACATGAATGAGTGATTAGATAAAACAAAAACTTGTTTTGTGGTAATTGCCATGTTCGTGCTTGTCATCAACTACATGGAGAAATAAAGTAAAATATGGTTGTGTTGTTACCTGACATGAATTAGCTGCCCCTTGCAGATAAACCAAATATAACAAGATGGATCGGCCTGCTGGTTGACAAATATTGCTTTTTTGGATTTAAGTTGCGCCATCCCTCTGCAATGTCAAAGGCGCATCAGCAACCAAAGATTTTCGACAAAGGAATGAAAATGTTGTGTCTGACTTTGTTAAAAACTGCAGTCGTCAATAGGTGCTGACCTATGAAGCAAAATAACAGCTCAACTGAATTAGTCATCATCCAAAATGACTGAATTTTACTGAACTCTCTCTCCAGTTGCCGCACAAAAGACATGAGGAACCATATCCATGGCAAACTACTAGCTCACCTCTTCATTAGATATATAATGATATATGAGACTCAAGATAATACTTTTGCAATGCACTTAAGATGCACTCTTTGAGCAAAGTTGGTGTCATTAATCTAAGACTAGGACTCAAAGTAGCTTGTCGACTGCAGAGTTCACATTTTCTTTTACCTTCGGATCTATGCTAAATAAACGAAGAAGTCATGAGTAAATCATACACAAAATAGCGCTTATCTGCTGCTGCTCCCATAATCAGTTTCTCAATGGCATGCTCCTCAATAAGTTGCACTATCCCCTTCCCTATATCTTGCATCTCAATATATCTTTTCTCCGCAGGAACCTGCAGACAGGAAAACATTAATGCGGGCACAGACAAAACCCATATTGGATTCCAGTGTGCATGTCAACGATTAACTTTGAAAAGTTTTGAATGATGGGCTGATGTCAGGTTACATAAGCATATAGATTTCTGGGTAAACTTACCATATTAAAACCTTAAAACAGAACTTGACACAAACCTAATCCCATACAACGATGATATCTCTAACTTCCACCACCCTTTTGTGCTCAGTTAATTCAGAAGAAGCTGGGAGTACAAAATTATGGGAACGAAGTCAAGACAATCTGATTTGGACGAATTAAGCGCTTAGTTTTTCCCGTAATATTGTCTTCTCTACATCACTAAAATGGGAAAACAAGAAAAAAAAATTCTTACAAATTTAACAGTAATGCTAAGAAACAACAAACTAATCATATGGCAAATGTGGAGGAAGACATATGATTTGGGTAAAAACGAACCCCTGTTTGGTTACAAATGCGAATGTACTCATCCAGGATCTTATCCATGTTCTGCCTCGCAAGTTCTTGAGGAGTCCTGGCACCATAACCATACGACTGATTCACTGGGAAATTTCACAAGTCAAGGAAACTGCTGTTACGAAATTGCTGCAGTGGAAGAATTTAAGCTAATGCCGACTTGCACAGAAAAGGACTATCAGGACTAAAATCATGTTCCCTCCAAAGTTAATCAGTCCTCGGAATAAGGAAGCCTCTCAGCATGCAAACATTTCGTAAATGCATCACATTTGGACTATACTTCCAAAAATGCGAGCACACACAACCCCATAGACCAAGAGTTATTTTCGCATGGAAAACTACATGACTGCCAACATTACAATGAAGTCCAATTGACTTGTGTATACCAACCAGAAATGTTTCTTCAAATGGAGCGACAGGAAAGTACTTTTCACAAAATGTTAATTCGAGATCACCTTACTGGTTAGAGGAACCAGCATGAGGAATGGCCAACAGTTTCATTCAACCGCAAATTACCAAAAGTACTTAGTTCAACAAAACTAAATCGTGCCACCTCATATGCAGCCACGTCTCTGTGGAATTAAACAAAGCAATCTCTAATGATGTATAGCGGTCGAATGCAGCTTATCAGCTAACAATGCCAGAGAAACCATTCTCACAAGAAGTATCATCATCGATACAGTAGACACTCATGCCCTTTTAGAGTCCTCCTATAAGAAGGTGCGCTTGAGTTAGCATTCTACTTAGCTGAGGTATCAAACTTTACCGGTGCGGCTATCATGCCCCGCCGCACCGTGTCCCCGGCATCCTAGGCCGTCGTAGAGCAGTTCAGTTCCACGTAGTCCGATACAAAGAGTCTTAAAAAAGTTATTTTGTGATAAAAAAAAAAAAAGGGTTTCAGTTTACGGCATCCTACGTAGATATACGTAGGTTGATGAAACTTACGAGGTGGGTTGAGATGGTTCCTGTCATTATCATCCTCGGGAGGCTGATGAACATGGAGGATGCGGAAGTGGCCGCCGAAGTTCTGCAGCGCCCACAGGAGAGTCGACTTGCTCTCCTGCACGTCGCTGCCCACGGCCACGTAGACTCGATCGTTGACCAGCCGCGGCGGCGACTGACCGTCGCCGGCCTCCATGAGGACGGGAGGAGAGGAAAGACGGAGCACCCTTTTGAGCTACAGTAGCAGAGGGAGAGAGGGAAGGAGGAGATGAGTGATCGCTCGGACGATGATGATGGTGGTGTGAGAGTACTTTCGCTTGAGGAAAGCCAACAAGGCCAATCAGTGAAAGCTTACTGTGTCAAAAGAAATGTCCTCTCTCTCTTTCTCTTATCTCTCTCGCGGAAAAGGAAACGAAGCCGCAGGTGGAGGTGGAGGTCGTTCCAAAGTCTTGGTGAAGTCAATACACCAACCAAAGAACTCGAACAGTTAAGTAAACAAGAACAAAGACAGAGAAAAAGGAAAGGGTGGAGGCTGCTTCCTCCACACACATTTTTTTTTTCCTGGCTAAAACAAATATTTTAAACTTAACTGACCAAATTATGGTTGAATATTTAGTAACATTACTCTCTCTCTCTCTCTTCAAACATTTCATGTTCTCTCTCCTATGTGTCACGAGCTGACAATTTCTTGTGTAACATCTGGTGAGTCGAGAACACCAGACCGGCCTTCTTTGTATAGATTGCTCCTAAGAAAGTTATGGCAAATTGCATCTTCGTATCAGATCGTACCACGTCCAATTAAGATCGAGCATTCCATTCATCGAGCATCCCGTTCGTCGAGCATGACACATAGATTATTTCAATACAACAACTGGTTTTATCCTGCCATGGTCATATCAGGAGAGCAGCATTAACTCCTGATCAGTTTGTACATGGGAGACTAATCCCACCTTTTAACTTGACTGACCAAATTTTGGTTCAATATTTAGCAAACATTACTTTCTCTGTATTCATACATTTCATGTTCTCCCTTCTTTTACATACCCCAATTTACTAAGTTATAAGAAAATTGAATGAAAATTTTAAATAAAGATATGAAGTTGGGTGTTTTTTAAGAGATAGCCCGGTTCAAATTAGCCACTGAAGTGGCCAACTTAGTGTCAAATAAGGCTTCGAACGTGTTTTTCAAGCCATGACAGGGGCATTCTCGTCTAGGGCAATTTTCTTTTTCTTATTCTTTCTCTTTTGCTTTTCCTTTTACCCTTTCGGTTCGTTCATCTTCTTTTATTCTTTACTTTTTTTCCTACTTCCGATGCCCGATCTCGCTTGACGTCATGAAGTCACCGGTGAGCCTATGTCTCGGCATCACCTACGACTACTCCTCCGTCCGGTGCTAGCTCAACAACATCAATGGCCGTTCTCTCTCTTCTCACTCACGGCCATGGCTACCAAATCTCCGAGCTAGCTCTCGACCACGTAGAAAGCGAGTTCAACGTTGAATAGTGAAACTAAAATGCAAGATGCAATTCAGACATCCTCATAAATTCGGATGCTTTTGGACTCCAATTAGTCGCACTGAACTTTAGATGATGTTAATTAAGGTCACGAGTGACTCCAAATTAAGTTCTGGTCAAAAAAAAAAAAGAAGCCAATTAGCAAACTAAACGAATTAAATCAGCACATCTCGAGTATATCGCACAAATCCAAGATTTTCTCATACGAGTTGGGTGAACATTTTCAACCACGACTTCACGCATAAAAATCCAGATTACAGCCAAATGAAGAGAGAGAGAGAGCGGCCATGGATGCGAGTTTAAAGCTAGAGTGGCCATGGTCACTAGCTCGGAGATTTGGCAGCCTTAGTCAAGAGCTCAGAGCTCCAGCGGCCATGGTCGCGAGTGAAAAGAGAGAGAACATCCATCGATGCCGTCGAGCCAACCCTAAATGGAGGACTGATTATGGCCGATGCCGTTACAAAAGCTCACCAGCGACTTCATGAAGTCGAGCGAGATCAAGCATCAAAATTGGGAAAAAGAAAAGAACAAGAATGAGATGAACAGAAAAAGAGGAAAAAGAGAAAAAAAATAGAAAAAAAAATTCGTTGGAAACCCTAGTCATGACTTTAAAAATGCCCTCGGGGCCGTATTTTAGATTAAGTTGGCCATTTCAAAGCTTATTTAAGAAGATGTCCATTCTGGATCCTCTTTCAAGAAAATAGCCTCATTAAGGGCATCATTGGAAATTTTCCGAGAAATTAATTAACTTATCTTTGCTTTTAAATTGTAATGAGTGTAGAACATGTTTGATAATTGTTTACCAACTTCAAAAGTAAATAATATCAACAAAAAAAAGTGTCTTCATTAGAAAAATAATTTTTCAAAATTGAAAGACAAATTGTCTCTATTCGAATACGAATCCATTAATTTGTTAACGGTACGATGTTGTTGGTTTAAGTTATTAATACATTGTTCATCTGAGCGTTGCGTAATTTTGATGTGGGCCCAACCTAGTTACTATTTTTTGTATTACTCATATTTTTTTTCATCAAAAAACTCAGTTACTTTCTCTATATATAATTTTCTAGAATTATGGGATTGTAAACAGGATTAATGACTTTTTTTTTATAACCCAAGAACCCCCGCACGGCCGACAAATGTGAGGGGTAAAAAAATTTAGTCTCGATTTTTCCCGTTGCTTTTTGATTTTTTTTTATCTTGTTTCATCTTTATGGTTTTAAGATCGGAAGGGACGAATAAAATAAATCTTAAATTGAATTTATAATTAAATGCGCATTTCTTGGATTTTTTGTTTGGCCTTTCTGAATGAAGACGTAAATTATTATCTTCAATGGAAAATATTTTGAAGCAAATTTAAATAAGAAAGTAATAATTTATGTATCCCAATTGCCTAAAAAATGTGTTATTAAGTATCATTGCATGCTTAATCCCAGTCGAAGGCTAATTTGATCAATTAATTTAGAAATTGTGCATCTTAAATAAAAAAAAGGTGTGGAAAAGTCCCATAAAAAAAAAAGAAAACAAAAAATGCAAGGAATTGTCCTCCTTGCTCCTTTTCTTTTTCCCCTTTTTTTATGGCAACACAGATATTTAGAAGTGTTTAAAATAAATAATGAAGCAATAATGAATAAAATAGAAAGCTACTGAGGCTCCGTTTGTTCATGGAGAATAAATGATTAGGAAAATATTTTCTTAAAAAAGATTACTTGAAATAATTAATTAATAAAAAATATTTTTATTATTGATAATAATTTATTTCTAAATATTTTTGTAGACGGTGGAAATATTTTTCGTACGTTCATTTTATGTACATACCAAAAGACCCATCAATAGAAGCAATTGCAATCTCAACTTTATTATAATTTAAAACTATTTTGCAATCTCAGCAATTGCGTCATGAGAGCCCCACACCGTCTCTCTCTCTAATGTGGAGGACCCCATATTTGACTCCTTCTTTGTTTTTTTTCCCTGTCTTTTCAATTTGATAATAAAATACACAGAAAATCAATATATGAAGATTTGCTAAAACACCATGGCCCCGTTTGGTTCAGCTTTGAGAAGGGGCTTTCGGCCTCAAAAGCCCCTTTCCCAAAACGCCGAACTGCTTGGCTCAAATTTTCCGAATCCGAAAAGTCGAAATGCCGGATTTGAATGCCGAGCCCAAAGTGGCCCGACTAGCTTTCGACTTTCAAAGATTCCACAAATGCTAACCGTTTCCAAAAAAAAAAAAAATTCTTCAGCAAAGCGTGGCCGGCTAGGGTGGCCAGCTAGGGCGGCCGGTGAGGTCGCCCGACCCAGGCGACGGCCTCTTGGGGGTCTGGGCGACCGCCCAGCCGCCGCCGCCCGGGTCACGCGACCTCGGCGATGGCCGCCTGGGGTCGCATGCGACCGCCCAGCGCCGTCGCCCGGGTCGCGAGACCTGGCGGCGACGGCCCGGGTGCCTGGGTCGCTTTGACCCAGCCATCGCTGCTCGGGTTGTGCGACCTCGTGCGCCGTCGCCTGGGTCGCACGACGCCGCGGCGCTGTCGCCCGGGTCGCACGGCGCGGCTAACGCCGCCGGCGGCGACGGTGCCTGGGCGGTCGCGCGACCCCAGTGGCCGTCGCCTGAGGTCGCGCCACCCACACGAAGGCGGCCTGAGGTCATGCGACCTCAGGCCTCCTCGGGCGACGGCCGCCGGCGCCAGATCTTGCTCGTCGGCGGCCGTAGCCCTTCGCCGGAGCTGGCGAAGGGTACTTTAAAAAAAAAAAAAAAACCCTCCCAACGCCCATTTGTAAAAAGGAATTTACCAAACACAATTGTATTTCCCTAAGTGACTTTCAAATGATTTTTTACCAAATATCACTTGCATTTTTCCAAGTAGCTTTCACCTAAAAATATTTGTATTCTTCCAAGTAGCATTTGAAAAGCTGAACCAAACAGGCCCATGTCGGTGGAGTTGCTCTTTGTTTGTTTGTTTTTTTCACTATTTAGTGTTAATGAATATAGTACGTGGCAGGTCATACGGCAATTCATTTTGTTGTAACACCTTTTATTTTGCCATAATGATTGTGCATCGATCACTGCGTAAAATCTCTTCATATTGACTTGTGATAAATTGTCGTGATTGGCTCTACCCAAGACTGCATAAAAAATTATCCAATCAATTATATGGATGCCAATTCAATTTTAAACTTTTCAATTTTACCAATTGAATTATAAATCTTTGTGCAATATTCCAATGGAGTCATTTAAGATAATTTTCAACGGAAATCACTGACGTGACGGTAGGAATGAGCATAATTCTAAGGTCGAATCGACCGATCCAGTTTCAGATTCCAATGTGCCTCGATCCGATTCCCAGTTCCATTGTTTTAGGAAGCAAATCGGGGGAACTGAGAAAACCCTAAAAAGAATCCTTTTACTTCTTTTTTTCATAAGAACTTAGATGTGCATATCTATAAAGGGGTTTATATTATAGATATTTATACTAATCTATCTTGCAATCAATGAGGATCAATATGCTTGAGGTCGTCTGTAGTTGAAATAGGGGTTACTCTTAAGGAGAGATCTAATTCTCTACTAATAGTCACTTATAAAGTTCTAACAAAGGGGTTAATTAGATTGAGACTTAACATGAAATGTTTTCAAATACCAGCAACTACCTACATAGAGCGACAATAAAGTTGTATATCATACTAATTTTCTTCATTTCCTAAAAACAAACATATAACATTGGTGTCTTGCTATAATTCATATCATTCTATGTTGTTGATAGACTGAGATAAATTACCCTACAGTAAGCTATCGGTTAAAATATGCAATGTATCATACCATCACAAAATTCCACATTGCATTCAATATATTCAAGGGAAATTTGTTGTGTCTATTAAAATAGATTGGAATCAATGGACTTGTGCTTTGTAGGATTGTAAATATGGTAATTAGTATGGTCATGATATTCATTGAAGATTGGTGAAGCTTATGTTGTCACATGTTAACATGTATGGCGATAATCTATATTTTAATCTCTCACTTGCTTTAATTATACGAACACCTTCTAATTATATTCTTTTATTTTTGTGAATGTGTGAAGTTAATGGAGGGATTGCCAAATTTTTTGCTTAACTAAAAATGAAACCAAAAAAAGGAACATATTAGATCCTACAACCTGTGACATGGTAGGTTCTGGGTTCTAAGATATGCAGAGTAGGTTTCAGGTTCCAAAAAATGAACAATCTATTCCAACAGGTAGGTTCCAAGTGGAACCGTAAGGAACTTGGAACTGCTCATCTCTACATGGCGGTATACCACATTGTTAATTATGATCTTAACTCATTATAACCAATTTCATTTTTTCATAACTAGAGGTGAAATGTCATAATGGCTCTCCAAGGAATAAATCATTATAGATCCTAACTTGGCTTTGAATATTCAATAAGTCGTATAAAATAACTTAGGAAGATTGAGGAGGCGAGGTCTACTTAGTAAGTAGTACCTACGACACACCCTTTTGTTCGAAAATGTCCGAGACCCGTGAGACCTGGGGGAGCTTTGAAGCATCCATTGTTATTTATAATCGCAATATATCGTAATCGATTTATTGCCGTGATTCGAAGTGATACGCTGGACTAGCTCCGATATCGAATGATACCGAGATGCTTTCGATACCACTATGACAGGCCACCTCCGTCATCGGTTGCAACCATTCTAACCTACAGCCACCGCGGCCACCAATTTTAGGCACGTCCGACAATCTCCTACTAATGCATGTCAAATATTGGAGGTGAAATTACGAAAAAAGTCAAACTTATCGCACTTGTGACAATTCAGTCTTAAATCTCTCAATTTGGCCGATTACAATTTGTCAATGTAATCCATCCGGTCAATTTTGGCCGAAAATCGATAACATGGACACATGCCGTTTTACATGGAACGCCCGGCATTGATGTGGACAATTTTTTATTTCTGTTTTGTTTTCTTTTTTTCCCTTCTTCCTCCTCCGGTCATAGGGCCTCGTTAATGGCCAGCGAGGCTTGCCCTCACCAGATCTAGCGAGGGTTGACCTCGTTGGCCACTGGCGAGGATTGACCTCGCCTGTTGAGCGAGGTTTGCCCATGTAGGGGCGAGGTCACTAGAGGCTGGCGAGGGTCGATGTCACTGGCTCACCACCTGACGAAGGAAGAAGGAAAAAAAAAAGAAATAAAAGAAAAGAATAGAAAAATAAAAATTTCAAAATTGTTTACGTCGGCACCAATCATCCTAGCGCCGGCCATGCCACATAGGACAGCCGGTGTCCACATCATTGATTTCCGGCAAAAATTGATCGGATGTATTACATTGACAAATTATCGAAATGTTGAGAACTAGATTGGTTAAATTAAAAGGTTTATGACTGAATTGGTACAAGTGCAATAGATTTAAGACTTTTTTTTTTTGGTAATTTTCCCAATCACAGAAAATCTTTGTTTGGTAATTTATGGAAGGATAATCAATAAAACTTCACATTCAATAATAAGCTCAAGCGAGCTTGCAAAGCTTTTGCCGTTTTCAAAACTCTCTTAACGTTTCATGTTTTATCGTAGGACGATTTTATTACGTCTTCTTTCTCTTACCATCTTCCATACGCGTAGCAACGGTTGATATGTGCCGGCCCAATTGCGTAAGCATGTTGCTATCTAAATACAAACATTGCTTACTTTACCCAAAATTACACTTTTATAGTGGAGAGACAGATGAAAACTCGGTAAAATCTGTGGGCTCTCAATTCTCGAGATGACACGAATTCATAAGGTAAATTCTATATTCAACATGCCAAGAACAGCTTCGAAATTGACGTGAATCGACCCATTTTTTACCATCTTTCATAAAAGCAATTTATAAATGGGTTAATATCATAAAAAACTTCAAACCGGTACACCTTTGATAAATTTAACAAAAATTAATTTTTTGACCATCAAAAATCCTAAATTGATACATATCAAAAATTCGCAAACTGGACAAATTTACCCTCTATCAATTTCTGTTAAATTAGATTAATATCTCGAAAATCACAAACCGATACATCCGCGACGAATAGAGAGTTAAGCCCCCCAACCCAGATATCCGTCAACCGTCACGCGTCATCCAATTCGCAATTTGACAATAAAATCTAACGAAAACTAACGGAAAGTAATTTTATCGCATATATATATCAATTTAAAATTTAATTTATAATAAATTTATTATAAATATATTAATTTAAAATTTTTCGTCATATTAACCCTACATCGATTGAAATACGTAAACGTTACAAAGGTGATTGATTGGAGAGTCTCAAGGGCAGCTAGTGGGGTTTTATTGGGGCCACATGATGTCACGTCTCGAAAACAATGCCTTCAATTATACTGCAATGAACATTATCCTATATGAAGAAAAGCCAAGGCTATGCTGTCGTGAGCTATTTATGGCCCGTCACGTTGACAAGGACGACTACCAACGCCCACGATCCGACGGTCGACAGCAAAATGGTTGGATCTAACGGCTGACAATGGGGGATCTTTTGGAGTGTTTTTAAGGAGCGTAGAACCGGCCGAAATGCTAATTATCATGCAAAATCTGCTTCTAGTAATCATGCGACGAATTCTCATCTAGCATCATAGGATAGCTAGGGAAGGGCACGTTTGGAGTTTCTAGATTTCATTTGTTTTGTTTATGTTCTCGAGATGAAAATAGATTAAAATATGTAGATAAAAAATGCTTTAATTATTATTATTATATGTAAATTGCCAAATTTGTTTCATATAACATGATTCAATTAGGTGCGTATATGTAACATATCAAGTTAGTTATATATATCTACGATCTCCTTATACATGGGACTGTACACGGATATGAAACCCTCTTGCCTAGATTAATCACGTTGATGACAACTTTGGATAACACTGCCTGTAGTGATATGAAAGCCTAATCTCACATGATCTATGTGTTACGGTTGTTACATTGGTAGATAACTCTTGTTTCATCTCACGAGATTACATACTCAAAATAGTTATATTGGATATCGAATGTAGGTGAGTCCTGACCAAAGCGAATAATATTGTGCTTGCCTCAAGCTACATCAGTAGCCTAATTTTCTTAAAAAAACCCCGAATTTTTGGTTTAATCTCAATTCTATCCCGAATTTTTTTTATCTAGAAAAAAAAACCCAAAATTTAGGTACTGTCTAAATCTGCCCCGACCTTTTCTTTGTTTAAAAAAAACCCCCAAACTTTAGATTTAATCCCAAATTTATTACAAACTTTTTTTTTGCCTAAGAGAAAAATTGTCAATTTTTTACTTTAGTCCCAAACCTGCCCCTATTAGCCCTCTGCCCAAAAATCGCCGTTAGTCGTCTCTATTTTCATATCCTAGAATGGTTTCATTGTTGAGATAATTTTTCATGTCATCTTACTGATGTGGATTTGTTATCGATGTGGAAATGCCACTTCAAATTGAGACTATATCGCGGGGCTAGATTTGAGAATAAATTGAAAGCTGATGGACTTTATTTTAGACAAAACAAAATTTGAGGCAGATTTGGGATCGTACTAAAAATTTAGGGTTTTTTCTTTCGAGACAAAAAAAGCCCGGGGCAGATTTTGGGATCGGACCTAAAGTACGGGATTTTTTTTCCGAGACCAAATAGAAGTCCGGGGTAGAATTGAAACTAGACCGAACATCAAGAATTTTTTTTTAGGGAATTAGGGCCCTACATCATTAATCTTTAAAAAAAGGGGAAAAATCTTATCTCTTTCTCCTCTCCTGATGTCACGTCGATCTTGGATGCTGTCCTAATCCTCCACACACACACACACATACACATATACATATATATATATATATATACATATATACATATATTAATGTAACCTACATAGGTTTTATTTTGTTTTTTGTGTCAAAAGCTACGTAGTTTAGTGGTGTAAAGAAAAACGAATGCGTAGAAACACCTCCCCTCCATCTCTCTCTCTCTCTCTCTCTCTCTCTCTCTCTCTGGTGATGCGACTTCGAGGAGAAGAAAATGGCTTCACGCAGGCCCCACCAAGGTGGGGCGTGGGGAAGAAGACGAAACCACAAAAAGAGGAGGACGACGCAACTGAGAACGTAAGCGGGAGCCAGCGACCGAGGCTGACGCCATTCGCTTCGTCACCCACACGACTTCACCTTCCCCCGTTCCTTCCTCCCCTTTCCTTCGTTCACACACGCACGCCCAGTCAACCGAAACCCCACACACGCCCCAAGCAGCGATTCTTTCGTGCCTTCTTGCCTTCTTGCTTTCTTGCTTTCCCTCTACCTTTTTCTTGCCCCTCAATATTTTACCCACGTCCCCTTTTTGCCTCTCTCTCTCTCTCTCTCTCTCTCTGTGCGTGTGTGTGGAAAGCGAAAACTGAAGTTTCGTCTGGTCTCTTTCCGTTTGGCGTTCCCCTCTTTCCCTTATCCTTTCTGGGTTCGGTCTCTCCCTGCTCGGTCCGTTCAAACCCCCCTCCCCCCCCCCCCCCGGTCTCGACGTCCACCCGTTTTCCACGCTGCCGCTTTCTTGATCTTCTGCTGCTTTTTCTTGCCGCGGCTTGGACCCATCATCGGCCTTCTGGAGTTCGTTCTTGCCATTGTGCTGCTTGATCTTGGGTCGTCTCGGCGAGATCTGTTGGAAATTGAGCAGGAGAGGTGTTCTTGGTGACTTCTCCTGGGGGAGAATATTAGTTGGGCATTGCGTGCTTTCGGTGGCTTCCCTTGAGATTGTGTTGGTGTCCACAGTCTTAACCCAGTTTCGTTTTCTTGAAGTTTTCCAATCCCCCCAAGTGGCTATATTAGATTCGGGCTCGTTCTTGTGATTACGCAATGTGCGGATTTCCAGTGTCGGAGTCTCTTGGTTCTATCACCTATATGCATGGCGTTTAATCCAAATCTTGGTGCTTCAGGTTTCATATTTGTCGATATCTTGAGTCTGTCCCTGGCTACACCTATGCATATATTTCATCTCTATGCGGTGTTTCTCTGATGCCCATTCAGAAGTTTCGGAACAGATTTCTTGAGGTATTGGTGGTTGCAAATGAATAGATATTACCAAATCTGACCTGCCTGTTGCCTCTTTTATGTGTATAGTGCTTTTGTAAATATATAAGGTTTGTGTTAGACCAGATTGTCCTGCACTTATGAGCACTGCTAGCTAAACTGAGTTTCAGCTCTAATCATCGCTAGGAAGTTTCTACCCTCCTCTTGGGTTTCAAGGTTGAACTGCAGTACAACACAGGTCCTTCAGTAACTTAGCCTTCCCTAGTTAGATTTATGGCTTTTTCGATAGAACCATCATCATCTTTGAGCTTCACTTCATCTTCCCATTTGTCCAATAACTCCGTCAGCAACAACCACCTATCGGGTCCTTGTAGCTCTGAGACGGGGCATAGCCTTGAAGTCATCAGTCTTGGCAAACTCAGCTCTAGTTTGGAGAGGCTTCTTTCTGATTCCACTCCCGATTATAGTGATGCTGATATTGTTGTCGAAAACATCTCGGTCGGTGTTCATCGATGCATTTTGGCTGCCAGGAGTGACTTCTTCACTGACCTTTTCAAGCGAGAGAAGGGATCCTGTGAGAAGGAGGGTAAACCAAAGTATTACATGGACAGTCTTTTGCCTTTTGGCAAGGTCGGACATGAAGCCTTTCTGATTTTCTTGAGCTATGTGTACACGGGAAAGCTGAAGCGTTCTCCGGTGGAGGTTTCTACTTGCGTTGATAATACTTGTAACCATGATGCATGTAGCCCAGCTATCAATTTTGCGGTGGAGCTGATGTATGCCTCGTATGTCTTTCAGATCCGGGAGCTGGTTTCCCTCCTCCAGGTTAGTCCCTTCCTCTCTATGCTGAACAAAGTGCTGTACCTGTGGAAATAGACTTGTCCATCGAGCGTATGTTAATTTTAACACACAAAATTCAGTCTTTTTTAAAGTGATTGCTCTTTTATGGCCCCATTTATATGGTGAAAGATTTAAGGAATGTCAAGATAGCATTGTCACTTGAAACTCGTCCACATGGTCTCTGCATCTTATGAGAATCTCCCTTGCGGAAGTATATTTGAGAGTGACAACTTCAAGAATGGTTAGAGCCATGAGGGAGACCAGACTTTGCTGAAATTTGTGGCGGATTTTTTAACTAGCAGATGCCTTAATTTGGCTCTTGCAAGGCCATGTGGCGGAATTAGAAGGAAAGTTTTGGTGCAATCTAGGACTGTTCGTATCATCTTTATTGTCTCTTTGTGGTCTGTTATAAGCTGGAAACCTGCACGTTTGACCTTTGTTTTTTGATCAATCAAAACGAACAAAATTTCCTTATGCAGATGATTTGCATTGTGCTGTAGATAATTTTTGAATTGCTATGTCATGCAACTGCAGCGACATCTTGTTAACTTTGTTGGGAAGGCTCGATCGGAAGACATCATCCCAATCCTTACCGCTGCTTTCCACTGTGAATTGAATCAACTTGTGATGCAATGTGTTGATAGAGTGGCTCGATCTGATCTTGACGACATCTCTCTTGAGAAAGAGCTTCCCCATAGGGTTGCAGAAGAGATTAAATTGCTGCGTCTCAAGTCTGAACCTAAAGATGAAGCTAACTTGGAAATTACAGACCCCTTGCATGAGAAGAGAATTAGGAGAATTCACAAAGCCTTGGACTCCGATGATATTGAGCTTGTTACGCTTCTCTTGAGCGAGTCCAATATCACCTTAGATCAAGCCTACGGCTTACATTATGCTGCAGCTTACTGTGACGCCAAGGTCGTTTCTGAGTTGCTTGGTTTGGGCGTGGCTAATGTCAACCTTCGAAACCGGAGGGGATACACCGTGCTTCATGTTGCTGCAATGAGGAAGGAGCCTAAGATAATAGTCCCATTATTGTCAAAAGGCGCTCGTGCATCGGAATTGACATCTGATGGGCAGAATGCTGTCAGCATCTGCCGAAGGTTGACAAGGCCTAAGGATTATCATGCTAAAATAGAGCAGTGCCAGGAAGCAAACAAGGACAGGCTGTGCATAGACGTACTGGAGAGGGAAATTTTGAGGAATCCATTGGCAGGAGATGCTTCTGTTTCGTCTCCTATTGTATCTGATGATCTACACATGAAGCTGTTGTATCTGGAAAACAGAGGTACTGATTTTTTCGGCTTATATTTGGTTTCTTGTAGATTATGGTGTTGCACTGTATGTTGCAGCATTTGCTGCCTGAATATTCTTGAGATGATCCAAGCTTTTTATTGAAAATTTACAAGATGAACGCCAAAATTTGAGTGCTTATGTATCCCCGTATGTGCAGTGCAATGAATAGTTCCAGCAGGGATGTCATCTTTACGAGAATAGAAGGTTGTGTGGTACAACCTACGCTTCGTGGAGGGTGAAAAGAAATTGAAACAAATGATGGTTTGAGTTGTTGAAAAGTTCACCGTTCTGGAAGGATAACAACTAATCTGGATTGATTTCATGTAACCTGCAAGATGTTTTGTGTATGTTGATTCTGTGAATTCCACCCGCAATAAGTCGCATGTCTAACATTTCCTTGCTTTCCTTGTCCCTTTGAAACCTTCAAGTGAGATAGAGATTTGGAAGATTGGAAGAGAGCAACATGCTAGCACAAGCGTAGATCCAGTGGTGTCCCACTGTTCTATAGTATGGAGAGAATTGTGGGGACAGAAATGATTTCTGTACAAGTCAATGAATTGATGCACATTAGAGGCACCTAAACTAGTGGTTGTAGTGTAGGTCCATTTTGCTTTTGGGATTGACCTCGATTGACTCTTTGATAAGGCATCTAAATCATCTTGGTTTTACCTAGGGCGATTCTGAGAATCATGGCGTGTGCTTTTCTTTTGGTTGTTTCTTAAGAAAGCTTCAGAATATTTTGATTTCACGTTTTGTTCTTCGTGGAGAACACTTTTTTTTTTTTATCAATTTATATTTATGCTTCTGCACTTCATGGATATCAATCATTTCTGCAGAATTTATTATCTCCCTCATTGCTAAGTTAATTAAACTTAATACGCTGTCGGTATCACGAACTGCAGTTGCATTTGCAAGACTGTTCTTCCCAACTGAGGCTAAATTAGCTATGGATATTGCTCATGCTGAGATGACAGCTGAGTTTGCTGGTCTTTCTGCAAGAAAAGGTTCAAGTGGAAATCTGAGGGAGGTTGATTTGAATGAGACCCCCATAGTTCAAAACAAAAGACTGCGATCTCGAATGGAAGCCCTCCAAAGAACAGGTAACTTGAAACATACTCTTTTGCTGCTCAGCTTTATTGATTAAGAAAAGTTCTTCCTCTTTCGTCTTGGAATGATGTTGAGTCTATAACTAGTAGTTTCTTAAAAAAAAAGGGGAAGAGCATACCTTGGCTTTTAGTTAATTTTTTCTTGCTTTGAACGATTGAGTTTATAAAATCCAATGCTGGGCCAACAGCTTTTGTGAAAAGAAATTGTATGTCTTACTATAAAGACGAAAAGAGAAATAAAGATCCAGCTAACAATGGCCGCAAAATGCTAATTCACGCTGTGATGTTGAAAAGGGGTAAAAAGAGTCACATAAAATGCTTCGTGACTTCATGATGAAAACATGAGAGAGTGCTCTCTATATGCTTCCTAAAAGTGCTCCATGCTGCTTTCCTCCTCCTCCTCTTCCTCCTCCTCGTGCTGCTCTCTCTCTCTCTCTCTCTCTCTCTCTCTCTCTCTCTCTCTCTCTCTAGTGCGCGCGCAGCACATTGTGGGTAATGCCAGTTTTGCATTTCGGTGGCTTATGGGGCCAACACGCGTGCATGTCATTTCCTATCATAACTTTAATTTCAAGCTGACTGAGCAGTCTAACTAATCTATCTCGCGTCGCTGAGAGACATTCTTGCTTTAGATCCCACATTCTTTGTGATGAGCATGCTTTCAGATGCTGAACAAACTGACTTGGATCATGATCTATCTGATTGTAAATTCGAACTCATTCGTTTCAGAAGTCTGGTGATTATATGTTGATTTGATGTAAACACAGCTTCTAAATTGTTTTTGCTGTCGAAGTTTCATGTGGATGAGGCCAGTTCAGTTCAATTGTGTTATTCACTGACGAGAACCCATTGTCATGGTGGCAGTGGAAATGGGTCGGCGCTACTTTCCTAATTGCTCTGAGGTTCTTGATAAGTTTATGGAGGATGATCTGCCTGACCTGTGTTACCTCGAGAAGGGCACGCCCGACGAGCAGAGGTTAAAGACGAGAAGGTTCATGGAACTCAAGGATGATGTCCAGAAGGCCTTCTCTAAGGACAAGGCGGAGATGAGCCTGTCAGGGCTCTCATCTTCGTCGTCCTCATCATCCTTAAAATACAATAACAAAATTAGAAGATCGTGAAGACGTACATGAACCAATATGGAATAAACCAACCTATTGAAGGGCAACTGGTTTTTTTTTCTTTTAGGTAAGGAAGCGAAAATTTTGGCTTCTGTCCTCATTTTGTTGAGCTGACAAAGATATATATTCAGACGTTCATAGGATGTTTTGGTAGTGATCTGAGATGTTTTTGTCTTTTTTTTGAGGTCTCCACTTGTTCATGTTACCTAACAAAGAGCTTTGAATTGCATCATGTACAGTTATGCATTATTTTGCAATCAGTCTGTTCTGCAAATGTTATGTACAGGTATAATTATTTTCAACAGGTCAGATTCCATGTTTTGCTTTTAATTTTTTTTTTCCGATTATCTCGGTCCATCTTTGGCTAGATAAAAGTTATTATAATTCGAGAATCTTTGGCTAGATAAAAGTTATTATAACTCGAGAACCTCGCGCGATGGTCGGAGCTTGCAATGTTAGGAAATGCTCTTCCTTTGGCTAAAAATTAAGCATTTACGTATCGGAAAGGTTTTCAAACGTGAAAGGATTTGCCACAGGCCTATTATTCGTGGAGCTCATTCATGCAATTAGCTTAAAACAGGATGATGATTGACATGCCATTTTGTGGACTCCAAATCAGATGATATGTACTGCTCAAGTTGGAGTTGGTCCGAATGGTTGTGTTCAGAACTGAGTCGCAATGTTCAGCTTTAGATGTTAACATGAGTTTCTTCTGTTTCTTTGGTCGGACATTGATGCTGTAGATTCGAAGGATGATGCTGGCGCAAGATCTTTCGTCCTTTATTCAATGAAGTATGCTGAAACAGAACATAGAGCCGATTTTATCAGGTGTTCCTGATCATCAGGTAGACGATGATCGATGTCTAGAGTATGACGTACCGTTTCAATTTGATTTCCAAAATGGCAATCCTAACCTGCTGAGTCCAATGGCTCTGATTTGAATGCTATGACTTCCAAATTGCGACTGTCTTTACCCGATTCGATCAAGTGATGGAACAAACATCTTGACCTTCGATTTCGCCGCTATGATTCTTGGCACCAGCATGGCGCGATCTCATAATGTACAGAAAATCAAATCAGAACAACTGGTGAACAATGATTTAGTATCACCTAGGACCCTCACAGCTTGGAAACTATCGCTCGTTTGCTGCACTCGAATATATGTAAGCCTAGGTCCGCCGGCGGTTATGCCACTTCTTTGAGTAAGATACCTATATTAAGACGTAAGAGACGAATCTGCTCTGCATCTGCAAATCGAGATTTTTCTCAAGATTAGTATGCAAGAGACGATGGTTCTGATTTGTAATTCTAATGGACGAACAATTAGAACATCGATGATTTGTCAACATTAGTAGAGCAGTGTCAACGGTAGTATATTGCTATGCAAGCATTCCGTCGCCTCAACTCGCAGCAATTTTTCGATACTCGTGTTAAACCTCTTCTTACTGATTCTATCCTCTTCAGATGCAAACATCGATACACGAGCCTAAATCCCGAACAGTTTCCTTATTTTGTGAGCAGCAGATCCATGCCATGCCAGAGTTGCTTCACTCAGAAATTCGCAGGACACCTAAAACAGTACTTCCAACGGACCCCAACTGTCAGCTTCAGCGGGCTGCTACGAGCAGTGGGGACAGCAAAGAGGCAAGAACGTTCAGGGGCCCCCTGGTACAGGCAAGAAACAAACCGAAAGTATCGACATTATTACAATTCATTGCTCGGAAACTGTTCATCTGAAAGCTGCAAGCAAGCTAGCCAGGGCAGTTCCGATAGTGATGCAACTGGATCGATTGAACAAGTTCTTCGGAGCATGGATCAATTTGCTCTCAGCAAAGCAGCTGGGACTTTTGCTATACAGCAGGAGCCTTATCGAGATGTTTCAACAGAGGCTGGATGCCCAGCAATGCTGTTGTCCGTCCGGTATCGGATGTGCATCCGCAAGTCCGTGGTTTCCCTTCGAGTCATGGATTTGGCTTTGTTGCGGATATTTGTCGAATGAATATTGCTCCAACTCATGTTAGGAGAGCACAGAGACGGAATTCAGATTGTTTTTGTGTCGTCTGCTTGACAGGTGATGTGAAACGCTAGTGCTTTGTTTAGTCTATTGACTGGGCTGCAATGACTGCTGATGTCAAAGCCAGAAATTGTTACATGGACATAGATTCTGTCCCCAAAGACTTCTTCATGCCTAAAGGACCAACTCGAGGGGGTCGAGGTCAAGTGGATCGAGGCAAAGATCGACAGACAGGCATACCGAGCTGTGGTCAGCGGTGGCACCAGAAGGTGACGACATGCTTGCCTTAGGGGAAAAAAGCTCCGATGGTCGGAGGTGCTGCTCAAACGAGCTAAAATTGAACAGAATCAGGTCTCCCTTGAAAAAACATTAGCCATAGTCATGCATGTATTGGGAGCGCGCAAAAGAAGTCCTATTTGCACTCAAAAACTTAGAATTAACGTGTCATGAATCAATTAGGATATATTAACTATTCTACACACAACAATTCTTCGATGTGAGACACTTCTAACCCAACTCACACGTGTATTTTATTACCTTCTGTCTTTTGTTGTCGCGACTCCTTTTATGATTATTTATTCCTTGGAAAATCAATTCTTTGATTTAGATTAGTCGACGCATGTGCTGTTAGTGTCGAGTCATAATGTCATATAATATTCAATGGCTATCAAATTCAATAAAGTGAACAACCCGTATCTCCTAGATTAGCGATAAATCATATATGTCTAACAAAACATTTATCACTTTGTGGGAAGAATAAAAGAAACTCCGAAGCCCTAATTCACAGGTCAATATTAACAAAATCTTATCATGAAAACGTTCTAACAAAGACTCAAGCTGCTGCGTTGCTTGTGCCGCAAGCAACCTTCCGAAGTACCGTAAAATGGAACATGCATGCGTTCGTGTCCCAGAGCATCCCGATCTCGTCGTCCTTCTCCAACCCTCGTCTCCTGACGAACTGCTTGTTCCACTCCCCGTTCAGCAGGTAGCTGTTCGACGATGCCCAGTAGCGGAACACGAGCCGGTGCTCGTTGCCCGTGTCCACGTCCCTCACGGGGACGTCCATCCCTTCCCGGCTCTGGACCTGCCTCACCATCTCCGCTCCCATCCACTGGAGCACGTGGATCCTCATGCAGTCCCGGGGGAGCAGCAGCCGCGACAAGTGCCCGAGGTCGCTGGGCTTGAGCTTCTTCTTGATCTTCCACGGGTCCTCGTAGAGCACCAGCTCCGTGGAGATGCCCTTGTAGCGCTTCTCTTCTTCCTCGTGTCTCGGAACGAGCCGCTCGTTCTTCTTCGGGACGGCATTACATGATGATCTCTTCGTCTCCACGCACATAACGCCGGTTTTGTCGGAGGTTGACGTCTGCGCAGATTCCTGCTTACTGCCCTGAAGCGTGGCGGGAGCGATTTCTTGACGCTGGTTGCTGCCATTGTTGTCCCCGACCGAGAAAGACGAGCTTTCTTGAATGTCAGTGCTGGTCTGAGTAGGGAACAAGTCGAGGGTCAGCGGAAGACGTGGAGACAAGACTTCTTCTGGGCTCCGATTCTTCCTCTCATTATCATCGTTAGTGTGGGCCACATAGGAACCACAGGACGAAGAGACCTTCGACGGTGCCGGCGGCGAGCCGTCGATGATGATCGGAGGAGACTCGGGGTTGAAGAAATCGAACATCTTCACGGGTTTCTTTGCTTTCTTCTTATCCATGTTATGTCTTTTCTCTGGAGAGACAAGTGAGAATTGAGGAGCGTGGAAAATCGAGAGATTGCGCGTTTGTGCGCGAGACCGTCGCGGATCGTTAAAGAGTGATCGAACTACAGTTGCACAAAATCAAGTTGTGAAGTGGGCACTTCATATACAAAGTATTGACTAGTTCGGGTTGGATTAGGAAAGGGAATTCCAGATAGTGCAGTGACCGCGATTGTCTCTGGAATAAGACTATATGTTTCCTAAAATGTGATAGTTTAATATAAGCAAGTAAAAAGAACGTTCATCCATGTGTTTCGCTATTATCTCTTAATAGAACATATTCAGTTCGAATGAAAAGTGTGGAATCCCAAGGGTTCACACCCTCTTTTTGGATTAATTTGAAGTATACGGCCCGTGTAATCTTTCTATTAATCCTTCCCTAATACCACTCGAGGTAGGAGATGCCACAAAGATTGGGATTAAACCTTGATGAAGCACTAACTGCATTGGAGTCTTTTTATGGAACTGCAAGTCTGTTCTCTCTTTTATCAACGAAGCTTTCAATGTATTGGGTCACCCTCACTCAAATTTATGTTGTATATGAACTGGGTGGGAGTATGGTAATGGAATACCAACTTGGATGTTATCTAAAGAAGGTTATGAAAACTGCATAGAACGGCTATTTACAACAGCAAGCTACAGAATGTACTAATGTAGCAGTCGAGCAAGCACCCTTCAGAAACGGCAGACCCTACAGGTTGGGATCGCCACTTATGCTGTTAAATATTTGCTTGATACCCTAACCAGATTGGTCATCAATCAACAATGGCCATGGTACAAACCCCGACCTACTTCCAGGTGCAGACCGATGCCGATGCCGTGGTCGACAGAACAAATAATAGCGACATGCTAGACAGCAGAGCACCCAGAGCTTAAGGATGTCGCCAATAAAGGAATGATTAGGGGACATTGAAACGAGGAAGCAATTTAAAAGCAAACCAGCATGTTCAGATGATACTTATTTATAGGTCTGGAATCTGGGAAACTAATAATGGGAACTTGTTAAAGTATGCTTGATTAGGAACACTTCGATTTTTGAAGCAATGATTACACAAAATGAGAAAAGTAGTGCACTAAAAACCGTAAACTTTCCTTGATTGCCTGCTTAAATTAAACTGTGTCTTGAAGGCACTCGTTAATAAGATTCTTTGTTAATTTAGAGAGAAGAAACTATTACTGCAACAATCCTTCCCAGTTGAAAGAGAAAGTCGTACGTCCATAGTCTCCCCAACTCATCAAAACAACCAACCTTGCCTAGTCCGATTTGCGGACAACATTGTTGAAGCACATCTAACCATGATGAAATGTTACAGTGATAAGCAACTATATGCGAAGAACCGGCGATCAAAGCATCTGGCAACTTTTTTCATTTACTTAATTTTGTCGGTGAAAGAACCCAGCACCTTGTACCAAGATGCTCTCATTGAAAGCATTTTTAGAAATTGTGTGTACACTGATAGCATCAGAGAATCTACGCTAAAAAGAATGTCAGGAAGGGTATCTTTAGCCTGAATGTGGTGACTGTTTTATACTTTCCCACATCACTGCACCTTCAGGATGAACATCTACAAAATACCGTACAAAACGAGCATCTGAACATGCAAGGATGGAGCTGATGGACATCATTGGCTTGACTGCACCTCTATCCCTCGACCAAATGTACATTGATATTCTTTTTTGTATTCTCTCCATATCGTAGCATAGATATGCTGGAAAGGCCACAAGGATTTCTAGTGGATAGCCCAACCGGTTGACTAAGCAATCAATCTTCTTCTCAATGACATCTTTCGTCTGGTTCAGCACCGTAGGAGCTTGTTTAACGATTTTTGAGGCCAAATTGAAGTCCAGACCAGCTTCTACAAGACAGTCAAACCTTTCCTGCAACTGATCTCCTCTTCCTCTAAACCGTTTCAATGCTTTTGTCATCTCCTCTGAGTTATCAACAAAGCCCAACCTCATCAAGAATGTTTTTTTCTCTATGTATTTAGTTGGATCTTGGTACAGTGTCCCTACCCTCCACTTGGATGCCAACTGGAACAATTTCAAAGGATCTTCCTTTATCATAAGAGCTAAGCAGTCTCTTATAACTTTCAATTCTTTACAAACAGTTTTGGGTCCTTTGAGGGAAGACGCGGCCAAAAGCTTCATGTGGTTGGAAACTATATTGGCTATTAAATCCATTTCCACTCTGATTTCAATCAGAAAGCTGACAGCTTTTGAGATATTTTTCAAGGACTTCTCAGACAGAATGAAGGGATTTTCAGCAAACAGTACACAAGCCTCATCCACATTGATGCCCACTTTCAGTAATAGGCCAAAAACCACATACACCTTCCTCCCTGAGCCATTGAACAGAAAAGCAGGATTCCTCTTGACTAATTCCCCCATCTGATTCTCTCCATTGTTTGCTTTCTCAAGGAACTCTATGGTGTCAAGAATTCTGCACCAACTGTATCTTTTCTTATCAGATAAATACTCACCGATACAATTAATATCTACACCAAGCCCTTTCAGTTTATCTAGGACCTCGACAAACTGTAAATCGATGCCACCGACCAACAGCGTGGGGCAACATATTACCAGCTTGATAACTGTCGATTTACTCAGACCTAAACCCTCATACGCCTCCAATCTCGAAGGCAACACCCCAATATCACATCGAAAGATATCTCTAGCTTCTTTGAAAATCTTACCGATCCTGTTCCTCGGAATCCCATAATTACACAAGGTCTGAAAATTCTCAAGCATGAGATGATCATCACTTAAAAACATCCTGTTCCGCGGAAGAAGCGACTGCAGGTCAGATGGGCGCACGCCCACGCTCTCGAAGAAGGGCTCGAACTCATTGATAGGATTATACCTAAGAAACCTCTCTACAGCCGGAGCAACATCCTTTTCAGCATTGACACTGGAGAGTAGATCCCGCACGAAGATCGGCGAGTTCTTGCTAATGTACTCGGCATCGGAGAAGCTGAAGCTCCTAGTGCAGTGCAGGTAATCGAAGAGCGCGTCCTGCGCCCTGCTCCTGGCGACACGAGAGTACCGGTGAGCCAGGAGGGAGCGCGCCGGCGCACCCAGCCCGGCGGCCGGGGCCGCCCTCCCGTCGCAGTCGAGGCTCGACCGGCCGAAACACCGGACCTTCAAGGGCTCGGAAGACGGGTTCGTTCTGGCCCGGGACTTTTCGCAAACACGAGGAGGGCACAGGAGGCGGTGCCCGAGTTGGGCCATCATCCTAGACAAAGGGGGCGACTTTCCGCGGGTTCTGCGGGTAAACATGGCACGACACCATCTGGGTCGACCGTATGCGGCATGGCTAAGCGAAGAGGCTTTGTGGGTCGTTCACCATAGCTCTTTGCCACCGACCCTGCAGCTGAAAATGGACGGCTGACGGAGAAATCCGAAGAGGGTCTTGGAGGCTTTGCTCGTACGTACCTCGGATGGCTAGAATCAATGTCTGCTTCCGGGTTACGCGCACCGAAGCTCGAGCTCAACAACAGCGGAATGCGAGGGACGGTGAAGGAGATAAACCCTAGTAAACCTCGAAGGAGGAGAAGAAGAAGGGGGGGGGGGGGGGGCATCGCGTGGGGGAAGGTGACGTCATCGATGCTGCAGATTTTCCATGGGTGAATTTGCAAAACCCCCTCAAATTTTGGACTTTTCTCTTCGATTAGATAAAAAAAGGTTCAATTTTCATAGTACTTTTTTTTTTGGGTCGAATAATTTTCATAGTATTTAACTGATTACATATTTAAAAAAAAAATAGAAAAGAAAGAGTTCATTAGTTGGAAACTAGAACAAAGGGTTCCTTCTTATTCTATGGGTAACTAGGATTCAATAATTAAAAACCCTAAATTCTTAGCACGTAAGCCAAATACCGCCTTGTCTTAAAACCCAATGGAGGTGGACAGCATCGTTGTTAATGACATGGGAACACGCAGCAAAATTCTAGTGCCTTAATTGGATCGCATAATCTATCGGGAAAATTTCAAATTAATACTCAATGTGAGGTCATTTTCTCAAAAAGGAGTCTAAAGTGGATATAGTATCAAATAAGGGCCTAAAGTGCCCGATGCCGGTGAGGGTCGGGCAAGGGTCGCCCCACCCAGGTCCTTACTTGAGACTAATTAGGCACTTCGGACCCCTATTTGAAACTGATTGGGCACTTCGGGCCCTTATTTGACATTATGTCCACTTTGGATCTCTTTTTCGAAAAAAAATGACCCCACTTTTGAGTACCGATTTGAAATTTTCCCTAATTTATCTAATCTGATCGATCTTCACTCGAAAAAGTCAAAAGCTTGAACAATCGAAACACATTAACTATCCTGAAACCACATTGATTTTCTCCGATCTGAGATTTCATCTGACGCCCGCCGCTCGCGCGCCGCCCACCCTCTGTAACAACTCGTAGGGGAGGAATTATTATTGTTGCACGGGAGAGACATGGCTGGTCCTTCCTACATAAACCTGTGCACGTAGAAATTTAGGTAAAAACCGAAGAAGTTGACTTTGGGGACCCTGCAAGTCCCGTTCCCTGGACAACGCGGTGTCTGTATCATCCCGCGGACACAGTAAATTTTTTTTTTTTCCGGTGGGTGACCCCCCCCCCAAAAAAAAAAAACTTCATCTTTATGACACTAAAATCATAAAGTTTTGATTTTTCTTGGATGGAAATGCAAGGAATGGCCATCCTCCCTCCTCCTCCAACGACCCAACCCAACACAGGAGAGAGAGAGAGAGAGAGAGAGAGAGAGAGAGAGTAGAATTCACAATCAGACAGCAACTCCTAATTTGCCTTATCACGCACTCTGCCTCCCCTGCCCACCCAATCCCTCTCTCTCTCTCTCTCCCTCCCTAGGCCTTCCTCCACACTTTATTCGTTTCGCAATTCGCAGACAGAGAGAGTGAGAGAGACGCTCGCGCGAGAAGAATTGTTGCTTTCTGGTGGAGGGATTCCCTCGTTGCTGCTGCTGCTGCCGCCCCGCGTTTTCCATCGATTCGGAGGGCCTCTGGGTGGTTGGGTTCTCCTCCCGGTGGTTGAATCTCATCTGGGTCCGCGCCATTTCGCCTCGCCTCGCGGTTCTTGATTTCTTGATTCCTTGATTGCCCACCTGCCGAAAACCCACCTGCGTTCGCCTCTTCATCTCCGCCTCCGGCTTCTCCTCCCCTGTATCGGATCGCTTGCGGTTCTGGGTCGGTCTAGGCTTCGGCTCCCCTCATCTGGGTTCGGGCGCTCGGCCGGCGTTCGGTCTTCGGTCCGGGTGAGTTGGGTTGCTCTGGTCTCCCGCATTCGTATTCGTGGGCGATTCCGGCTCTCTGCGACTTGGGTCGTGCGCTATTTTCGTTGCTTTTGCCTGTGCTGGTGTGGGGTGAATTCTCGAGTTTGGTTTGGCTTCTCAACTGGAAGTGGAAGTGCCATCCTTTGTTGAAAGTCTTGTTCTTACCTTGCTGGCATTTGCTTTTCTCTTCTCCCTCTTTGTTGCGTGATGAATGGAATTAAAAGGTGTGTGATTGTATCAAGAGTTTTCTCTGTTCAATTTTTTGTGTACTTGATGTTGTTCTAGCAGCTGATCTTCGCTCTGCTAGTAGGACTTAAGCTAGCACCACCTTGGGGTGTGATTTTAAGGTAGCATCTGTTTGTGGGATGACCATGTTTTGATTAACAGAGGAGAGCACACGAGCGTTTTTCTTCGGTTGCGCTTTTGGTCATTCGATCAGTGCCGGTATGCGTCCTTTCTGAGCCAGTGTGCATTGGTGTGTGTTCGCGGTTCAGATCTCTTTCGGTCATTGTTATTTGTTTGTCCATGCTTTGATGCCTCACTTGTTAACATTACATATTTTCCCGTTGAGACCTTCCAAGTGTCTTCTCAGAACAGCTCTTGTGTCTGATACCTTGTCTCTATACTCCATCGAACTCCTGTTTTTCTTTTGGGTCACAATATCACATTAAAGTGCCTAATGTGCATGAAAGAGTAAAATGAGAACCATAATGGATAATCTCGAAGCTCTGGATGATTTTTGCGTTCTATTTTTTTGGCTGTTCTCAAAATAGAGCTCTTGGTGTGTGTGATGTGTGCATTTATGTAGAATAATAATTTCATTTCAAATATTGTGGTTGTGCAAGTTTAGTGAGAACACAGTAAGGGAAAAACAGCAAGCCTTAATGTGAGGTAGATGCAGATAAGAATGATTTAACCGGTTGTGCTTAAACATAGAAGTGCCCAAAGAGTAATAGTTTCATCGTTATTGGTGCAATTTCTCTGGCTGTTGTTACTAACTCGAGGTTATGAATTCATGTATTGGGAAGTCAAAATATATATCAAGATTCATCCAAACCGTCATCATCGATTTGACTCTTCTTCAGTATTTCAGTCGCCTTTTTTAACATATAGTCTGCTAAAGCATATTCAATAACTTGTTGGGGTGCAATTTCTCTGGCTGTTATTACTAACTGGAGGTTATGCATACTTTTCTCTCGGCATCATGTATTGGGAAGGCAAAATATACATCAAGATTCCACCAAACCGTTTGACTCTTATTAAGTATTTCAGTCGCCTTTTTTTAAAATATAGTCTGCTAAAGCATATATAATAACTTGTTGGGAAAATCCATCGTATGCTCTGAGCTATGACTGACTAATATGCTGATGCTGCTATCGAATACTGGAGTTTTTTTCTTGGTCCTTTTCTTTTGTCAAGCCTTATGCCTGGAAATCATTGCCATCAATCATTTTCCTTTGCAATAATAAGTCTTGAATTGGCAAGCCTTTCTGAAAATGTCACTCTTTCTTGGTCGTACATGAAAAGTATATAGGGAAGTTTTCTATATCAACTTCACTAAGGCGCTTGCTGAAAATTATCTTATATCAATTGAACCTGTCAATAATGGTGCTGTAGATGACTCATCCTTTCATATGCCTTACAAATTTACCAGCTCTTTTATGAATTGCGGTTACAGCATAAAGAATCAAAATGGATAGGGAAAGATAGCACTAGAAGAGGCAGGAGGCACAAACAACCTGGAGATCCATATGTGACCAAAGAGTTCATCATGCGGGCAGTTTCCAAAAACACTGTTATGAGTATGGAGGCTTACAGGAACCAGGCCGAAGTGTTGGTCAAAGGCTATCTATTAGCTGATACCTTACTTCCATTTACGTCCGTTGTAGCTGGCATTTTGGCTTGTAAATTGGTATGCTCTTTCAGCGAATTTTCTTTTTTCCCTTCCATTGTGAAGCTTCTTTCCTCCAATTTTGCTTGGCTTGCTGGGCTTTTGGCTGGGTCCTAGGTTGTAGCAAGGCTATTTCTTTAATAGACAGTGACAAAAACCTCTTTTAAAAGAATGCATGTGATCAGACATCTTCTTTCTACGTTAGTAGCATATGGCTTTTCGTTATTCTTTTACTTTCGTTTTCCTGACATTTAAATATCTTACAGGTGTATGATCTCACCCAGTTAGTCAGTATGTTTTACTTCAAAACTTATGCAAGTCTGACAAAAGTACAACGCATCGAGTGGAATAACCGGTGGGTGGATATGTTAAAACTTGCTTAATGAGTTATAAGTATAGCTCCATGGTTGCTTCTAATATCAATCCTTTTTTAGTGGTATGTCAACAGTCCATGCCATTTTCATCACAACCATGTCACTATACTTTGTGTTCTGGTCTGATCTCTTCTCTGATCGACTTGCTGGGCCTGTGACTTTTCGACATTCGCCTCTGTCTACTTTTCTTCTTGGGGTAAGTTTCTCTCGTTCTCCTGAACTCATTTGAAGTATCATCTTCTTTCTGAATGGTTGAAACATGACTGTCCGTGCATAAAATGCAAAGTAGACAAGTTCTAACCCTTTCTACGCCAGAAGACTATCTAGTCATGAGACAGTTTTTTCCTCTTTGGAAAGGTCCTTCATCTCTAGTATGCAAAAACTTATTTTCTAAGACCGATACACTCATATTACATCGCTGTAACTAGGATTCATTTAACTATGGATGTGTTGGGCAATAAGTAGAATTCATGAGCATATTCTTTAGTTAGATAGCCTATATCATATTCAATGTTGTGCTCTTCCACCTCCTTTCTAATGTGACTTCTCATATTTGCAATGAGATAGGTTTTGAATCGTGACCTTTCTTTCCTCTTATATAAAGTAAAAGGGGAGGACAGTGGGATCAAGTCAAAACTCAACATGGGGAAGACTTTCCTGCATAAATTGCTTTGAAATCTGATTAAGAGAAGTCATCTACCATTGAAATTGTTTATTTTCTTCATTTCTCACTACCATTGTGGATGAAAAGTCTTCACCAGGGTTCCATTTCTAATAAACTTGTTGATTGAAATCATAGGACAAGCCCTTAGTAGTTGACTCCCTCCAGCTTTGATTTTACAAAGAGGGAAAACGTGTTTAAGGTCTTAACAGGATCTCTGCAGAGTGTGCGCATGAGTGATAAAGCCACCTCAAATCCTACTCGAACGACACTAACAAAAAACCTTGTGGAGTATGAAGACAATTCTTTGCAAAGCCCTTGGCCTTGATGATAGCTTTTTATTCTCCCAGCGCCAGCCTTCAGTTCTGGTGGTCACGCGCTCTCATTTTTTTTATTTTCCGAGTCTTCTCTAGCCAGGTTTAGTTTCTTCGGATGTAACAGACACTCTATAGTTCTTCATTGAGAGGGCTAGCAAGTTCCCCGGGTAAATGGCGGAATTTTAGGACTAGCAGAGAAGCCTCCTGATTGGATAGAGAAGTGTTCCTCACGTCCAACCAGAAAAATGAACTAAAATAGCAAATTTGAGCAATTATTGACTGTGTTTTGAAGTTATATGCTCAGTAGCCATTGTGAAACGTAGATCTCAAAATGTGTACTGCTACTTTGAGAAGCAAAGTATATTTTTATTACCATTAGTTGACGGTGCAAAAGCAGCTGTATTATGATTAATTTTATTAACCATTGTGCTTAATTAGTTGATTTGTGAAGTTTATTAGTAGTGCTTAATTTTTTTAGCACAAATCCATTCAAAATACTTGTAGAAGCACAACACTTCTTTGTTAGAAATAATTGGACTGGGTAAGTGCTAAATTGGCTATCCTTGGTGGCAGTCCAAGGTAAGATCCACTTGATTATGCTCTCCTTTGAGAGGAATCTGTAACAATATACCAGGTAATGTTTTACAGGGATGCAACACCATTTTGTGATTATGTCTTTTTACTTGCTTGCCTAGATAATCCACAGTTATGGCCCTTACGAAGATCTTGCTCAAAGTGAAATCACTTACCCTCCACCATACTCCCTGCCCTGGCCTATCCTCTGCTTACCATGCACCACTGTGTCAAAGAAGCTAGAATTTCGTAATTTGTATGAATCCAATATCTTTTCTTTGGCATTTTATTTTCAATTGAGAAGTGACGCACACAATTCCTGTTGATCCTTCAAGCTTTTCCACACCTAGTTGCAAAGTAACGCATTGAGAGTTGTATTATTAAACTCTAGCCTATCATAATCCTTTCTCTTGAAACTAAGCTCAAAATTTTGAGAGATTTTTGTCTGTAATTGCTCTTAACCACTGTCAATCGTCATTCGGTGATCAATTTTTGAACAAAGTATTCAGTAGCAATTATATTTCTCAGTGTAACTATAATAATAGATGTAGTTTGAGCTTGAACAAGAGTAGCTCTAATAGTTAATGACCGGCAATCACCACCACAAAATACATTACACTTGAGACCCACCTATTCGTGAGTAAATTTTGTTCCTAATACTTAGGACTTTGGAAATATCTTATACATTCACTCGGACAATTTTTGAGGGGTGAAGCTTGGCTTAGATTTGACTTGATGTTTGGGAAGTCACAGAGTTCCACCGGACAATCGCAGGTAAGTGCTGTGTGAACTGTAGTAGCCTGAGCTAAGTAGAATACCTTACGTGGATAATGAAATATTAGAATGGTAGGCTTCACTTGAAGTTTACTTCTGTTATATCAGATATACTTTTTATGGATGCACCCTGTTGCTGCATTGATAGCTTGCATCATTGCTGATATATGCTCCGACAGTTATTCAGCTAGTGGAAATTTTTTGGCAGGTTTCTGTTGGGTATTTTCTTTCAGATCTCGGAATGATATTTTGGCTCTATCCTTCTTTAGGTGGAATGGAGTATGTAAGTGATCTTATAATAAATTTTTACTTCTTGTTGGATCATGGGCAGAGTTTTCTCACACATGCGTTTTTTCGTCCGTACTGTCATCTTAAACTAATTTTATTTCTTTCTATTTAGCAAGGAAATGAGACTTAATTTTGTATTGCTAGTTAAATGAATAGGGAGATCGAAAAAGAGTTAAATCTTCATAATCAAGACAGGTCTTTGGTTGAGTCTCATGCTTTATTGAATTTACTTGATAGTTTGTCAAAACCATGTTCAATTAAAAAAAGAAAAACCTATGAACACAGTTATATGCTCAAATACGGTATTGCAGATAATTTGATGCATGCAAATACATTGAGCAATAGAAAACAGTAGATTTTATCATAGAGTAATTACCGCTGATGAGTCAGTACCCCTTGGTCTCAGGTTATACATCATTCACTCTCTGGAATTGCTGTAGCATATTCTATGGCTTCTGGGGAAGGGCAGCTTTATACATACATGGTCCTTATCTCTGAGATTACGACTCCAGAGATCAATATGAGATGGTATGTTTGTTATATCTTGAGCCCTTCATTAGCTTTTCGTGTCGTCACTGTAATATGCATTTTGAAGGTTTCTCGACACTTCTGGGATGAAGAAGTCTGGTGCGTACCTCATTAATGGCGTGGTCATCTTTATTGCCTGGTTGGTGAGTCTCTATTTCCTTTTCCTTCCAAGATCTAGACCCTCTAAGGCAATATCGAGACAGAAAATATCTCAGATGTTTGCTTGGTTGGGCTGTTTGTTAAACCCAAACCAGGTTATGCTAATTGTACTTGTCAATCTTGTAAAGATATTTTCTCTGTTCATATTCAGATATACCATGAGCTGTCATGACTTACAAGGTGGAATCTCTTTTTTGAGCTGGTTCTGACATTAGTGCTAAGCATACTTTCTGTTACATGCAGGTAGCAAGGGTTCTTCTGTTCGTTTACTTGTTCTACCACGTGTATTTGCACTATCATCAGGTGTGCAGATTTCTGAGAACCTGTTTACAATTTGTATCTGCAACTTTCCAAGGGATCTCCAACTTCAGATTCCTTGGAACACCTGTTACCTCCTTCGTCATAACTAGTTAGTGTCTTTTTTCTTGGTGTGCATACAGAGTCGTTTTTTCAATGGACAGCACTGGCTGTTGGAAATGTCAAGAATTTTGACATTAGAACTGGAAATATGTGGATTCTAACAAGATTTGAGTTAACTGCCCTTCAGGGAAAAAGAAAGACTTAATGAACTTGGCTTCTGTAACATTATTTTTTTGGCTTTCCAGGCCTGTGATGCCATATCTCATCGTTTTTAATCATACTGAAAGTACAGCTAATATACTTCTTTAAAAGTCCAATACCTACCAGTTCAATGGTATTCTTGTCTAGTAGTTTGGTCTGTTGTCTTTCGATCTGTCCATCGGTTACTTCTGTGTTCATATACAAATTTCAGCGATGATACCATGCAACCAACTTTTGTCTTCTTGGCAGGTCATTGAGATGCACATATTCGGGTATCTATTGGTCTTTCTGGTGCCGGCAGCGCTGGCAATCATGAACTTGATGTGGTTTGGGAAGATCATCAAGGGGTTGATGAAGACATTAGCTAAAAAGCGGTGAAGATCACACGCTTGTTCTGCTACGTGCCCTCCTACATTCTCTGTTGTAAAAGTTGTGGTTGCCCTCATAGTAAGAAGTCTTAAAAGCTCACAGAATCAATAGGATCATCCAACCGACCGACAATCACGTTACTGTACATGTCTATAGTTTCATTACAATCTCACGAGTCATTACTTACTATTTTTTACCCCCCCTTAATTATCGATAACGCTAGCAGAATTCTGAATTCCGATGCCTTAATCCCGGACGTATCATATAATCGAAAGCTATAAGGTCTTCTGACTCTCTGGACTGGTGGTGCTGAATCTGCTGATTTTCCTTCACTGGGGTGTCGTGATTTTGTAGTCTTGATGATGCGCACTGACATGATCTATATGAGACCTGCAATGCCAAGTCGATCTATGGAATGTAAAGTTGATGTGATTTCTAAGCCCACTTGCAAATTGCAAGCAACATGGAAAAGATTTGAGACTTTTCACAAAGCATAGATCCAAACGAGAGGGCAACAAGCCGCAGAAAGATAAGCAGCGAAACTAACAGAGTCGATGATCGACAAAGCCAAGAACCGCAGCCATGACAGACAAAAGGGTGATGGATGAAACCCCAGAAGAGAAGGCAATGGACCCTGCAAAACGATGTGTTCGAGGGGGGTTAATCCGAGGATAGATTGACATAAGACAGGATAAAAGTAGGTGATCGAAAGTCGAAAGAGCGGGCGGACCACTAGGAGTAAGAAGTAAGCAAGTTAAAAGCGGATCTTTCAAGCCTGCACATTCTTGGAACTCAGGGTCGGTTTATTTGAAGGAAAACTATTTCCAGAAATTTTTCGACTCGGTGGATCACTAGGAGTAAGAAGTAAGCAAGTTAAAAGCGGATCTTTCGAGGTTGTACATTATTGAAACTCGGGGTTCATTTGTTTGAAAGAAAATTATTTTTGGGAAATTAATTTTTGATTTTCCGGTGTTTGGACGACGGAAAATTAATCGATTCATGAAAAATGTTTTTCATGGACGGAAAATAACAAACTAAGATGGCAGGAAGGAAATCATTTTCCCTCGAAAACTAATCATTTTCCATGAAAACTGATTTTATGGAAAATATTTTTCTTTATTATGAAGTTTCCAGGTGAAACAAGTGCACCCTGAATCTAATTTTATAAAGCTTATCTCTATTTTTTGGCAACTCAATGGATAAGTGGTTTAGGAAAGGACTTTCGTATCGGAACGACGCAAATAAACGAGACTTCTATTTTTAAGGGGTCTCAATCAATTTTTTTTTCCTTCTCTATATTTTATAAATATCTTGTCCATGGATGAATGTGTCATTTCACACTTTCTATTTTATCTTTCGCGTGTTATCCTATAAGAAATTTTCCTAAGAAGATTTCAAATCTCAAAATATAATTCTTTTTCCATATATATATATATATATGTATGTATGTATCAATGCACATTGCTCGTATTGTCCATTTTTATCACTAATTTCCTTATGTTAATCTAATAATTTAAAATCCCGTAATAAAATAATTTTGCTTGATGATTTATACGTCAATTCTCTACGCACACGCGACATCTTGTCAGCAATTGAATTAGAAAAAAGACATATAATAGCATTTAGATGCCCGCTTCGAAAAAAACAACTAGCAACTACTAATAGTAAAAAAGCCAATCTAGCTTTATTTTTGTTCTCAATTTGGTGCATAATCCCTTTCTCGGTGATTTTCGGTACGCTATCGTGCTACTTTTTTTTTTTCTTTTTCATATGGGAATATGAATCCCGCAACTATAACAATGATTAATGGAGTGATTAGTCTGTATATCTGACGACCACATTTTAATTTAATTTTTTTCTTCATTTTGGTCGGCGACTCTCCCCGGCTGTTGGCGAGGGCCGCCTTGCCTGTGGCCGATGGGGCCGCAAAGGCCCCGAGCGAGGCCATCATGGCCTTGCTCGGTGAGGCCGCAATGGCCTCCTTCGCGACCCTGCCGATCTTGAGTGAGGCGGTCCTTGCCAGTGGCGACCCTCGCGTGGCCAAAATGAAGGAAAAAAAGGAATAAAATTCAAGAACATTATTAAAAGTTATCCATTTCAGCGCCGATCGTGCCACGTAAGATAACTGGTATTTATGTTAGCGATTTCCGATCAAAATTGACTGGATGGACTCAATTGGCACAAATGCAAAATGTTTAAGATTAAATTGGCCCAATTAAAAAGCTTAAAACCGAATCGATACGAATACAATATATTTCAGACTTTTTTGGTACTATATCATAAAAAAAAACATATTCTTTAGATTATTATTTTGTTATTTATTTTCACGATGGGTGTACTTGTAATTAAAAAATGTCTCGTATATATATATACACATCCTTTTTAACAATCAAAGATGGCCGAAGACATAATCAAGGAAAGACAGCTGGGAATTCAATTGCCAAGACCAAGTCGGACAAAAAAACCCTAAAAAATGACCCCCTAAAAAAAAAACAAGTGAAAAAAAGAATAAAACAAAAGAAAAGAAAAGAAAAGGAGAAGATGGAAACATCCACCACGTTATTCCCTAAAGGCAACGTACCGGCTGCGATGTCACCAGTGGAATTTCTGCGTGTACGCCAAGATTAAAAAATTTGTTAAAAAAATAAATAGGATGAAAAGGGAAAAGGACATAAATAACCCCCTAAATTTTAGCTTAATGTGCAATATTCTCTTTTAACTTTTAATTCGTTCAATATCGTCCCTGAATTTTATTCTGATGTGCAATATCACCCTTAAACTTTTTAATTTTATTTAATAATAAATGTTCAATGTTGTTCTTGAACCAGAATTAACGGAAGGATAACATTAGATATTTTCATAGAGTCAAAAAATAGTTTAGAGGAATAAGTTGAGCATGTATCGAAAGTTCAGGAATCACATCGAATAATTCGGGACCGACATCGCATGTTGGGCTAAACTTTAGGAGCATCACAGAATAAATTAAATGATTAATACTACGAAAAACCCCAAACTGTTATACCTGTGACAAATTTACCCAAAACTAATTTTTTGATCACGAAAAACTCAAAACTGGTACACCTGTGATAATTTTACTCCGAACTAATTTTTTGACCACGAAAAACCCCAAATTGGTATTCTTCTGATAATTTTACCCCGAATTAATCTTAAAACCTCTAACTAGTACACATGTGACAAATTTACCCTCGATAAGTTTTCGTCAAATTTTACTATCAAATTGCCGAGTTTGATGACATGTGGTAGTTGACGGGTGTACCGGTTTAGGGTTTTATCCCTCTATTTGTCACAAGTTTACGAATTTGTGGTTTTCGTGATATGAATCTTGTTTAACGGAGAGTAAATTTGTCACAAGTGTACCAGTTTTGAATTTTTTGTGGTAAAAAAATTAGTTCGGGGTAAATTTGTCATCGGTGTACCAGTTTAGGGTTTCTGGCGATCAAAAAATTAGTTCGGGGTAAAATTGTCACGGGTGTACAGGTTTGGGGTTTTCCGTGGTCAAAAAATTAGTTTGGGGTAAATTTATCGTGGGTATACCAGTTTGGAGTTTTTTGTGATAAAAAAAAATTAGTTCGGAGTAAAATTATTACACGCGTATCAGTTTGAGGTTTTTCGCGGTATTATTCCTAAATTAAAAGACGAAGATAAACAGCAACCCGCAACGACCCTGACGAAGACGACGTACCAACTGCGACGTTGCCACGTGGAATTTCCGCGCGTACGCCGAGATTTAAGAAATGATGAAAAAAAAAAGAGGGCTGGAAATAAAAAGGGGGAAATTGAAGGCCGCGTTGTTGCTTCAAAGGAAAAAAAAAAATCAATCGCTTTCGGAGGAGACAAGGGAAGAAGAAGAAGAAGAAGAAGACGCGGAAAGCTTCGTTGGTTGGACCGTTCCCCTCCTCCCTTCTTCCTTCTCCATTTCTTCTCCCGTGTTGGAAACCTCCTCCTCCGCCTCCGCCTCCGCCGCCGTCAACGCCGCCCCCCCCCCTCGCCGGAGCCCGATCCGATCGCCGACGACCGACCGACCGCCGCTCGGATCTCCGACCGTTCGACCCACCCACCCGATGGCCACCTCCGGCAACAAGAACATCAACGCCAAGCTGGTCAGCTCCCTCCCCTCCTCCTGGCCACCCCTCTCTGCTCCCCGTCCCCCCCTTTCCTCCGGGGATCGGGGAATTGGTGCTCGTTCTCTGGTCGTGTCGTGCGTGCCCTTTTCAGGCTCGATGCGTTGCGAATTTCCCGTCTCCGATCGCGGGTGTTAGGTGGGGGGGATTAGCTCCTCGGTCGCGGAATTTTCGTCGATTCCGATCGCCGAATCCGGTAGCGATGGTAGTAGTCTTATCGACGATCTCTGCTTGGGGGCGTGCGCTTTCTCGCCGAGAGAGAGGGTCCGATCTTCTCCAGCGTCGATCCTTTGATGATCCTTTTGGGATTAGGGCGAACTGGAGCGCGCACGCGGTTGTTTTCTGCGAATCATCGCCGATTTGGGAATTCGGTGTGGGTGTTTCGCTATTGCTTTACGCATGCCTTTTGCCTCCTTCCCCTTGGGGGACTTTTGTATTTACTTGAGTAAGGGAGGGTTCGTTTTTTACTCGGTCTCTGACCGTCGGTTTCTCCTCTTACGGTAGCCTTTATGGAGCAATTCGTTTTGCTGCTACCTGTTAATGCGTGTGTTCGAGCTGTGATTGATGTCCTCGATAGTCTTCGTGTTGCAGCTTCTCTGTTCTGTAAAATTTGTCGTTGCTTGCTTATATTAAATATGGGTTGCTTCATGTAGCGTGTTACGAGTGGTATGCAGCTTTATTGGGCTTCAAAATTTGACGTGAAAATGATCATTTATTTCTTTGTCTCTCTGGTTCTTGGGAGTTCTATATCTTCCAGAATGCCCTATTGTGCTTTGCTAGGTTATCGTTTCGAGAAGATAGTGCTAAAGAGGTGCAACCAAGAAAAAAACAAAGCAAAATTCGAAGTGGGAAAATAGCAGGGTAGAAAAGTGAAATTTTGGTAACGCTAGATTGAAAAAGTCAATGTATAGTTGATCGAAAGTGCTTATGTGTGCAATAGAAAGCTAATGAGAAAATAAAGATTGGTGGCTGGAGGCCCTTATGCAATCATTGTTCTGCATTTCTTCTCTGTGACTTTGCGGCCTTCTGCCAATCACCTGGTCGCAGAAGAATCTAGTACATTACCAATTGCGATCCTGACACTGGAAGGATAACTGTGATAAACATATTATTTCGTTTCCTCTGCCTACTAATAAAACTTGCCCAGCGAAAGGCGTATCATCTCGTTGTTTCATAATCGCGGGCTTTTGTTGATAACCTCCATCTATATTTCCTTAAGCTTTCATGCTTGCTTTAACTTGAAATGGTTATGATTCAGTATCAGGATCTATTTCTTTCTGTGCTTCTTCACGAGCTGATTACTTATTTTATCGAATCTTCTGTTTTTGCTTGTCGTTTTTTGTACATTAGGTGCTTCTTGGAGATGTTGGAGCTGGCAAATCTAGCTTAGTACTGCGGTTTGTTAAAGGCCAGTTCGTTGAATTTCAGGTTCACAAAACTAGAGTATTGATTTATAATTTTCAGCTGATTTCATTTCTTATCATAGTAGCTTGACTATGAATTACTTCTGATGTTGTAGGAATCCACCATCGGCGCTGCCTTCTTTTCTCAGACTTTGGCTGTAAATGATGCAACTGTGAAGTTTGAGATCTGGGATACAGCTGGCCAAGAGAGATACCACAGCTTGGCTCCCATGTACTATAGAGGAGCTGCCGCGGCAATCATTGTGTATGACATGACAAACCTAGTAAGTGAAGTTAACAACAAACCAATCATTGCCTCCTATGCTGTATGATGTTGCTAAGTCGACTAATCTTTGATTGTGGCTAGAGATCTTCGTACAAAGTAATAGTTTTCACTACAACTGAATTCATGTAATATGTGAATCCGCTTCTTTTGGCTTTCAATTTTAGCATTCTAGCACTTCAGTTTTCAAAAGATGTTCATTTTTTGATAATGGATTGCATACGCTGGTCCTTTACTTTTGATTCTTAGGAACCATCACCAACTTTCCACGTACAAGTTTGTGTCCTCAAGAGGTCATTACATATTATTTAGTTGAAATTGTTGCTCCCATGGTATGAGTTCTCCGTGGAATTATCAAAGAGTGAATCGATTTATCCTTCTCCAGAGGCCTGGCTGACCTTTGTTGGGTTGGAGTTATGATTTATTGTTTGGTTTTGGTTGTTAAGGTGCTTCTTGCTCTTGCTGTGTATCTTGGCAGGTGGTGGCTTATAATAAACTCAATGGGTATAACAATTTTAATTGCTTAAGATATTGCACACTGGCAGTCTCACATCAATGATAATAATGTTGGCAGTCTCACAATTGTTCTGATCTTTGATATCAGCATAGCATTTTAATGATCCTGTGGTGTCACAAGTGAACTTGTTTTGAGCATATCTCTATTAGATGCATACTATATTGTTGTCCTTGCTTTTGTTGATGTAAACTTCAACTGTCTATGTCGAAGATTTACTATCTTTCTTAAACAGGATAAACTTGAAACTGGTTGTTGATGTATTATTCTAATCATGGTGCATGATCCAATTTTCCTTCTTACTATATCATCCCCATTTTTTCTACCGTCGATCTTTTCGCTGTGCGCTCCCAAGCAAAATGTTTTGCAGGATAGTTTTATTTGGAATGTCCACTCTTTCTCCATAAGGTTGGGGAAAGGAGGGAAGTCCCCTATCTCAAAAAAGGACCACTTCTTTTTTTTTTCGGTCGGAAAAAAAAAGGACCACTTGACCTATGCCTTTGCATGACATTACTGATTCCTCTCGCTAATTACTCGTATTGCCCTTATAATCTAGCTTTACTTTTTCTCTCTGTTCATATTTACCTAAGTGTCAGGCTTCTATATGAAGATGAGGCATTGATCTGACTGTTTGTATGACATGACATATGATGTGTTCAAACATGGTTCTATATATCTGCCTTGCTGAAGGTCTATGTCCATATAGGAAAGTAGAAGACTTTACCTATACAGTTCTGCATCTGCTTTGATGCTCTGCAGCTTTGTGCTTTCTTTTGCCTTAGATGTTTTCCTAGCAAAGTGACAAGACTGTTTTCTTTCTTGTAGGCATCATTTGAGCGAGCCAAAAAGTGGGTGCAAGAACTTCAAGCACAGGGTAGTGATTAAATCTTTTTGCTTAACTTCTCTATGTTATAGCTATTTGTTTGGCTTTGCCGTTGGCATTCACGTTTATTTATGTTTGGTGGCATTTAAGTGGGTAGACTTTGTTAACTTCTTGATCTCCAATATGCTTGTGACTTTTTGCTCTTCTTTTCATGTGTTAAAAGAGACATTTATTAAGTTTAGTATGACCTTGGGGTGCTGGTATACGCAATTATCGTTCATATTTTATCATGGAGATGTTTGGATGAGATCTCCTTATCTTTCTTCAGCAAGAACCTTATATCATCTTGCAATAATTTCATGGTTAGTATTTGAGCTAACTAGTTGTCTCCATTCTTGTCAAGGTAACCCCAACATGGTTATGGCTCTTGCTGGAAATAAAGCAGATTTGTTGGATGCCCGGAAGGTTACAGCTGAGGTAATTACAGTTTTCTTTCTGTTTTCCTTTTGAGATGATTGCTTCTGTTTCCTCCATAATTATGTTTTCATTTATCAAGAGGAAAGTGCAATTTCATTGAGGTGGCAATAATGGGGTGCCTACCTCAGTATCCGCTAGATGTAGGATGTCTACATCTTCCAATCTCATGCGATGTTTGGAGAAGAAATCAATTGAGAAGAACCGAGACTCCTTTTTATTCACTATCTACTTCTGATAATGCACCTGTTCCTCTCCCTTCTCGGTAGACAAAATGTTGTATGAGGAATCTTTTGTGGATACTTGTTTATCTTTGCACAGTCTGATACCTATCCAAGCCTTCAGTCCTCTACAGAAATCATCTCGTTGGATAAAGATGTGTGAGATCAGGAAAGTTAGTCTTCTGAAGTTTTATCCTTATTATAGATAATAGGCTGGGAGATTGTTCATGCTGCTTTTGATGCTTATTCGTGTCCTTGGGGTATCCTTATGCTTTCTGGACTCCTAATGAAAGGTGGAACTTGATACTATCACAAATTGCGGGCATCAAAATGATGTTATTTGAGTTGGTTAGATAGAGTGAACACAGAGCGAAGAACAAGTGTCTCCATTGATTTTTTTATGATCTGAGTTGACTCTAATTCAAAGTGGTCATTGTCATTTATGGAGATGACCGACTTTTTGGGAGCTCAATGGGAAGAAAAGCTATGTTTAATTAGCCCAGCCTAACCTTGTCGAGCTCACTGTCAATAGGCAAGGCATGAGGAGAAGTTGATTGATTATGCAATGGCACTGTTGACAATGAGCTTATGGCTCAGTTATTATTCAGTATAAAGCTTTTAATTGATCATGATATCAGTCAAAGGAGAAAGTTTATTTGGAACATAGCGTAGGTTCGGTCCAGATTGTTGGATAAGGACCAGGACGTTAATGAGACTCACTTCAATTATTGTCCTCTTTAAATTGCTCATGTCTGGTCCCTTTTTACTGCAGGAAGCGCAAACATATGCCCAAGAACACGGTCTCTTCTTCATGGAAACGTCTGCTAAAACTGCTACAAATGTCAATGACATTTTCTATGAAATAGGTATGACTGTCTTGTCAATGTATTCGTCTCGTGAATGCATAGTTCATATCATGCACGTCATTGCATTGACTGGTTTTCATTTACAAGTACTCATCTTTGTCGTAGATACTGCATGCTGTGAACTCCGTAATTAGGTTTAGGAATTTGGATATTGCTTGTAATCTGTCTCTGCTCTCAACCGAGGATGGTGATTACAGCGAATTATATACAACACCTTCTACGATGAAATGTTCCCGCCAATTTTTCTGGTGCACATTTTCTTTCTTTGTCGATGCCATATAATTTACTGTTATTTTTCATCGATACAGCTAAGAGACTACCCAGAGTTCAGCCAGCACCGAACCCATCGGGAATGGTTCTCATGGACAGACCCGCCGAAAGGACGGCGGCCGCATCGTGTTGTTCTTAAAAGCGGCCCTCGTCCGTGCTTTCTGTAAAAGCCCATGATGTGTTCTCCCCGAAAATGCATGATGAATTTTCGTCACTCAGAAGTTATCTCGACCGAATTATCGGGCGGAATTGTACATGCCATGTCAATTTAGGCCCCCTCTTATGCATAGTGTTACCAAGGGTGTGTGATATAATTTTTCATATATATAATGACTATGGTTTGGCTCCTGTATCGATTTCTGTACCTGAGGATTGCAAATCGGTTTCGATGCTCGTAATGACATTCCGACTTATATCTTTTACACAATAAGGTGGACGTAGTTGTCATTCTTGGTGCAGAAGAAAGCAAACTCGAGCCCATACATGATACAATGTTGCAGATCCTTGGGATACTTTTGGTAGGATCGTAGTGTGATGGCCATTAAGTAGGCAGCCTTGAACTCCTTTCATGTCCAAAATTAATCATATATCATTGAAACAACCCCCCTCAAAATGTTTCTCTGTTACATGTCTTTAAATTCGTACGACCGAGCAATCTACCATAATCAACTCTGCTCGTTCGAAGTATTCCTTAATACGTATATAGAATGTATAAGAACGGAACGGGAGATTTCGTATATGACCACAATACAAAAGAAACGACTCAAGAATATTGAAGGCGTTAGAATGGGGCTTCAAGAGAATCACTCACCAAGAACTGAATTTCTAAGGGAAAATTAGAGATAGTATGACTGCATATAACGACAAAATTCCATCACTAATGTTCTTTCTCTAAAGATCAAAATTTTTCTCCTTGGTCACCGAACTAATTCAAGATCAAATATAATTGAATGGTATGGTCACTTAAGTGATCACTAGTCAGTTTCACAAGACGCTAATTTGCCTTGCGAAGAAGGCTGAAATGGAACTTGCTAACGGTAGGATCCCAATAAATTCCGACCTCATCGCCAGCCGCCAACCCCCTCCGTTTCACGAACTCCTTGATCCAACCCCCCTTGAGGACATAGGACCCAGACGACGCCCAGAACACGAACACCAGTCGATGCTCGGAGCTTGTGTCCATGTCCCTCACGATGACGTCGGCCCCCTTGCCGCTCTCGACTTGCCTCACTGTCTCCTCACTCATCCATCGGAGCAAGTGGCTCGTCACAAAGTCCCGCCCGATCAAGAGCCTCGACAGGTGGCCGAGATCGCTCTGTGTAAGCTTCTTCTTGATCTTATAAGGGTCGTAGAGCAGCACCAACTCTGTGGAAAGGCCATTGCGTCTTTCTTCCTCTGTATCACATCCTGGGGCCTCTTTCTTCTCCTTCTGCGTTCTATTGTACTTCACCTTCTTCTCCACAATTAAGGTTTCGGCATCGGCGAGTGAGGCCATAGATTTTTGCTTCGGTTGGGCGGGAACGATTTCTCGACGAGGGCCGCCGATTTTCTTCGTGTTCAGATCAGGCGTAAGGGGGAAGAATTCGTGAGCCACCACCACTCCTGCAGATGAATTTTCTCTTGCCCCTTCATCGCCATTCTTCTCCTGATCGTGCAGATTACAAACACACGACCAGGAGCCCATCGATGGTGGCGAGTGGACCTCGCCTCTCAGGACGTCGCCAATGGGAGGCGATCCGGGGCCAAAGAACTCGACGAGCTTCATGGGTTTTCGGTTGAAGAAACAGAAGAGTACTTCGCAAGAACAACAAAGGGCAACGACACGGTGCAGAGGAATTTAGAGAGAGCTGAAAGAGAGAAGACAACAACGTTGGAGAGAATAGAGAGAGACGAGACAACATAGGCTCGGAGGTAAGAGAGGGATATATAGTTTACCGTTGGAAATGGGATGGGGAGTGCACTTGAAAGTGAGGGACTCTTTCCTAATTCGAGTCAGGTTAAGATTAGTGTATGTGGGGGATTAATAAAATAGGATATAATTTCAAGATTCAAGATTGAATTTCCTACGGATAGTACAAGATCACCTCTTTTTTCCTCAAGGGATTAAAGGACAAGTACATTAATCTCCACTCAAATTTTCCATTGATAGATTTTAAAAAAATAATAGATAACCACATGAATTTATAATTCTTTTTACTTACTTATGCTAAATTATCACATTTTAGGAAATGTATATAGTCTTACGGCACGTGCGCGCATGCACTCTTTAGGAAATACTTTATAGTTCAAGTGCGTACTTCACAACTTGATTCGGTCTAACTATAGTTCGATCACTCTCGATAATTTGTAACGGTCACGGCGCAGATGAATTTTGGGTTCTGTCTTGATGAAAAAGAAAATCTTCAGATAAGAAATAATAGCTAATTTATTAAGCACAATAGAATGAGTAAATACCTTATATTAGGTATGGTTTTTTGCATGCTAATCTAGAGAGATTTGAATTTGCCAGGTAGTCTTGTCACCTAAAATTGATAATACCTTTGGAATTACGGATACATCTTACTCGAATTCTTGCTTGAAGAAGTGAATTGAGGATTTTATGCCCATGTTTTGATGTTAAAAAATCGGGAGCAATGAAAATAAGATGTACATTATCCACAAGAGGTGCACGAAACATGCTATTTGTCCATTTGAGATCAAGTAATTCCATCATTCAAACTTCAACCAAGTTCAAACAATAAGTGGAATTGGAGTCACATACTACTATAATCGTACGATTCCCTGAAAGAGACTAATGCTAAGCAGTATTAAAAGATTCGAATACATTTAGGGCTGCAACTTAAAGATAAATGCTACATCTTAAGATAAAATCGATACCCTACTATTATGATGTAGTAAATATTAATTGGGTATTGAAATAAATGCCCACTTAGAGTACGATGTGTCGTCAGTAGATCGGTCTTAGTATATTTTAGCACTACTCTTAAGTTAATCCCAATCTTACTAGCTTCCTAACTCGAATGGTATTAGGGAAAACTAATGCGTCGAGTGCTTCAATTAGGACAATCATTTAATGTTAATTATCCATATCATCTTTTCAAGATTCAATAATGCTGAAGTCCGAAGGTACGTGTCTTTACGCTTAACCCGAGTTTGTTTAGATTTTTAACACATCATGTCTACTCTTAACAATATCAAAATAATAATTATGGGAGATATTTTTCAATCGATTCTACATGTTTACTTGTTAGCTTTCAAATTATTACATAACATGAAAATATAATATATTTGTTTCATAATCTATAAACCCTTCAAAAAAGTCATATGTTATAACGGGCACATTTAAGACCAACTGCACAGCATCCCTGTCACTCTTCATAAATTTTGGCTGTGTGCACAGCCAATTTTATTCTGGAAATAGCAAGTTTCAAGAAATTGAAAACCTAAGAGTAACGATTGTAAACTCAAAAGAGAGATTATCTTTTTATTTTTTAAGCTCCGTTTGCTTTGCGGAAAATGAACAATCTTTTTGAAAAATATTTTCCTAAAAATAATCATTTGTATCACTTGAAATAATTAGTTAATGAAAAATATTTTTGTTATCGACAATAATTTATATTTAAACATCTTCGTGGACAATGAAAATGTTTTTCACTCATTATTTTTGTAAGTGATATAAGTGATCACTTTTAAGAAAAAATTATTTAAATTATTCATTTTCTGTAAAACAAACGGAGATGCTCCATTCGTTTTGCGGAAAATGTGATGTTTTTGGAAAATGTTTTCCGGAAAGTCATTTTCCAAGATAATAACAATATTTTCCGGTGTTTGGCTGAGAGCTGAAAATGCACTAGAAAATATTTTTCGTTGTTTGGTATGGAAAATCATTATTCCACTCATTTTAATAAATTTTTATTTATTTTTGAGTATTTTAACATTTCTTTTCTTTTCTTTTCTTTTTAACTTTCTTCTCCGGCCACGGCAAAGGCCGATGATGCTTGAGGGTCGCCAGTGGGTAGCGAGGCTCGAGGCTGGTAGGTCGGCAAAGCTTGAGCGTCACCAGTAGGCGGTGAGGCTCGAGCCTTGCCAGATCGTTGAGGCTCGAGGCCTCAAGCTCACAAGTCGACGGTGAGCGAGCTCACCAGACCGCGGCTCACGAGGCGGCGGCAAGCTAGGTGGCGGATCGCTCGCTCACCAACCTCTGGCGAGGTATCGAGCCTCGCTGTCCTTTAAATGGGTCGGGTCGGATCGAGTTTCCATGTGACCCAATCCGATCTAACCCAAATCATAAGGGTTGTGCATTCTTTTCGGGTACGGGAGGATAGGGGCTTATTTGACACCCCGACTACTTGTGACCGATGAAAGTCGAAACAACAACATGATTAGAGCTTTGGAGTTTATCTTGTTCTTCCCACAAAATGACAAGTTTTTCTTTTTCGATTCGAATGTCTATGATTGAATGCTAACTGAGGAGATGCAATTCGTTCACTTTGTCGGGTTTGTCGATTAGCTAACCATGAATTATTTGGTCGTTAAACTGTAATAGAGAAGTAAATCAAGTGGCAGACTGGATTATTAAAACTCAAAAGTACAAATCTTTGCCTTATAATTGGGTCTTTAATCCTCCCGAAACTCTTAGGAATCTCATATGTACTAAAACTCATCTATGAAATGAAATGATCTTGTTTCGAAAAAAAAAAATGTGCTCCTTTTGAAGTTCTAATTTGCTACAATGCTAGATTCTTGGGCATCAATCACCTTTTCAAAGCATCACCCCTTTTCCCCTTAAAGCACAATCGACGAAACCAAGCCCCGTTTCCCCTGACATCGTACGGACAGCAAGCTCATGCCAACCCCTCGCGTTCCACTCGTCGCGTGCCCAACAAGGTGTCAATGCAGAGCAAGCCCAGACGATGATCATTCCATGAAGTTTCTTTAGTGTTGCTCCACTTCATTCAAACAGTTTCGTAAAGGCTGTTTCGTGAGAATAAAGGACAAGGCGACTCGGGCAGCCCACCTGGGCGACGTTTGACTTTTGAGAGAGAAGAAGAGGTAGAGAGAGGAGGCACTAATATCCATGGAAACCAATCCGAGTACCTTGTGACATGAAGACAAGCCAGCTTTCGAAAAGCGATCAAATTCTCCTTTAATCAAATATGCTTTAGACGTTCCGACCCTGGCTTTGATTATATAGACATGTTCTGTGTCTCCTGCCCTAAGCTAAAAATTCTCGATCACCCATTGAGTTACAGCGGTTGATGTGGACGAAAGAAAAATAGGTAAACCAATTGTCAAGACCGATATATGGAAAGCTTCATTGATATATGAAAAGAGTGGAATGAATTTAGTGCTGCATCAAGGTTTAATCCCAATCTTTTGTGGCATCTCCTACCTCCAGCGGTATGCTTCAAATTAAGGTAATTATCCCAA